GCCGCGGCCACACCGAGCGCTCCCGGAGCGGGCGCGGCCCGTGCGCTGCCTGCTCGCACCGCTGGGACACCGCTCTGCCCATCGGACAGGGACCCTGCCACCGCTGGGTCACCGCTGTGCCCACCGGACAGAGACCCTGCCACCGCTGGGACACCGCTGTGCCCACCGGACAGGGACCCTGTCCCGGGAACAGCGCGGCACTGCCCCGCACGGCACTGCCCACGCACACAGCACAGCTGCTCTGCCAGCCCTATGGCTCGCAGAGGTCCGGCAGCAGCACAGTGAGGCTGATTTCTCAAATGTTAGCAAAACCATGAAATTGTGATGTAGCCTTTCTTGTGGAAACAAGAAGCAGAATTTATCAGTAACTATTTTCTACTTATCCAAGTATTTATGAACAGTTCTGTATTTCCAGAAGAACATTTCATTACACTTTTTTTTTTTTATTTTTTTATTTTTTTAATTATTAGTTTTCTGCAGGGCTTGACCTGAAAGGACGACAGTTTTGGGAACTCATGCAGCTTTCAGCCACGTGCATGAATGGTGGCCTGTAGCAGTTTAAAAGGGTAAAGCTCAGGAAGCAGGTAAGGTAGGAATGCTCTTCCACAGGTATATACCAAATATTTTTGGTCCCACTCATCAAGAACAGAATCAGAAAGCCAATAAAGGCTTATTATGTACAGGCCTGCATCCCCTAACTTGACATCACTCTGCTGGATTTGCCTGACTGCTCACCTGCCTCAAAGGCAGGCACTGAGGGCTTTTCAGAACAGAGCCCCAATGGTGTGAGCAGCAGAGGCTGCATGCTTTGTCATGTTACTGCTCTGCCGAGGTCTGTACCCCATTTAGCACAGAGCAGCTCTTTGTCTTCAGGCAGGCAGAAATCCATTTGTTCAGAAATAGCTACAGCACATAGCGTGGGAGGGGGCTGGGTGTCCAAGGACCAGATCTGTTCAGTCTAGGTTTCAAGCCCTCAAACAGAAAACGTCTTTCCAGGGAATACCTTAAATGAACAGGGAAAAGACACTTGACAGGTATGACCAGCTGTCCATCCAGGCACTTTGCTATCCATTAAAACTTGTCGCAATGTTAAATCATCATTTTAAGTATCCCTCAAAAATATACTTGAAAAGTATATTCATAGAAGAGAATTATCAGGTTTTAAATATTCACATATGCACTCCTCAAAATAGCTAAATGTGGCTTCATTACTATTTTAAACCTGACCTCATGCAAAGTTTCAGTATTGCATGTTACAGATGACTGTTGAACATCTTGCTTGTTGTCTTTGTTGTGGATAATGAGTAGGAGTTTAGTAGACACCGACACACTGGAGACTGCAGTGTTCTGTAGACATAATATTTGTGAGTACAAGAAGATAACGGAATGGAAATAACTGAAATTACTGATTTTGTCCACTAACCCTACATTCTAGATCTGAAACAAACTCTGACAATGCTGCAGCACCCACCGGTTGGCCTACAGAGAGCCACCAGACTCTCAATATTGTCCTTCTATTGTCCTGCATGTGAGCTTGTTGCAGCTATATGGGGAGAGCTATACAGGGCCTTCCAGATTATACAGAATACTTTTTCTTCTTCTCTAAGTGCCAGTTTTCTCTCTTTACCAGAATTTCTTCTCTACCAGAAAGGTTGTTTTTTTCCAGTTTGAGAGAAGGAAAAAATAGATTTCTTAACCTCTTGTAGATGTTACAAGATGATACAAGATGAGTATTCATAGTCATCTCTGTATGAAAGGTCTACCATGTCAGGAAAAATGATGGGTTTGCAGTGATGTTGTGTATAGTTTCCTGATTCTTCTATCAGAACAAGCTATTCTAAGATTAGATATTCCTTCATAACTCAGACCTATATTTATGCTGACAGATGTTATAGTTCCTATTTGGTGTTAATCTTAGCAGGCCCCTACAGAGGAATTCCCACGTTGTTTGTGAATAAAGCAGGCAGTAAAACATTTAGGAAATGTCTGTGTTTTAAGACACAATTCATTTCAGCCTGGGGATTTTTCTAAAGTAGTTGCAGACCTCCTAGCATCTGAGGGCAATAGTATATAGATATTTATATATATTATAATATATATATATTTATATATATTATATATAATAGATCTATAATATTACATATATTATATATTTATAATTTATGTGACTCAGCTTTGAATTTTCCTAAAATATTATGATGGGATGGTTATTTAGGAGACAGACTTTAAAAATATTTCCCTAAACTTTGCTAAACACTGTTCTTAAATTGGTGCAGCTGGGAGAAAGGAAGTGGCTGGCTGGCAATAGCTTATTCAAAAAAGAAGCATTTTCCAGAACAGCAATAGCTCCAGCCTCTAGTGGTTTTGGTTTTCTTTTTTGTGCCTTTTCTTTTTTTTTTTTTAAGCATATGTGTGGGCTGGAGGGGGAGAAACAAAAGAAAAAGAGACAGAAGAGCTGATCTGAGAACATGATACGAAAGTGAAGGAGTAATGTAAATGAGGCCAAAGGAGAAGAGAAAAAAAAGCAATCCTTCAACAAAGGATAGTTTTGTTCTATTAACCTCTTGAGCCAAAATGAAACGTGCATGTAGAATAAGAAAAATGGTTCATTATTTTGCCTGAAAATTCTGAGCTTTAATTGTCAAACAATAGTCATTAGTTTGTCTTGACACAAGGTGCTTTGTCAAATACCACAGCTCAGCTTTACTGATGGCACAATTCCAACATGATCCCATGTGAAGCTGCTTTCTTTTTCCTTAAGTGTTGCAAATTATTTATAACAGATACTGAACAATGCAACCAAAATCATGAAGGATTTTTAATAGCCTGAAATCAACCCTCCTACAGTATTTTTTATCATTGTGATTTATATCCCTTAAAATCCTCAATCTGAGCTTCTCATGAAGTTACACTCTGTAACTCTTTGTCACTGCTCCTGTCCAAACACATCCTGTTGCTCTGGGCAGTGAAACGGGGTCTTGGGAGAGGCCATGTGCTTCTCAGAATTAACTCCCATCTGCCTTGGGCAATGCCAAGCTTGACCTGGCAGTGCAGCAGTGCCAGCACCAGCTGGGGCACTGAAAGCCCACTCCAGGGCTTGCTCTGTACCTCTGAAAGGACTCAGTCTTACTGTCCTCGTGGGGCATCAACCACGTGTGTTAAAGGTGCTTGGAATGTCAGGGCATTTTACCTTGCTGCTTTCAGAGACTGCAACAATCTCTTGACTTTGCTTTAGGAGAGACAGTGCATCTGTGAAATTAGTTCCTACCAACATACCACTCAAAAATCTTCCTGTATTTGTTTCTGTGCCCTTTATTTTGCATTGAGCAACATTTTCTTCTTGTCAAGGCCTAGGCTTTTGGCCTCTACGTCTTCGAGTGCTGAAGGACTGCGTTTTTTCATGGAGTGTTTTGGGATCAAATAATTCTTTGGTATTATAATGTAGTAAATTCTGGACTCAGTTTTTTCATGGAGTGTTTTGGGATCAAATAATTCTTTGGTATTATAATGTAGTAAATTCTGGACTCAGAAGCATATAATTTATATAATTTATATAATGTTTGGGAAATTAACTGCTATGGATTGCTCTTTTCCTGTTGTTTTGGGATCACAGTTGCTAAATTACTTCCTTTCAAAAACTGTCATTAGAAAACAGTATCAACTGACTTTAAATTTATATAGAGTCCTTCCATACATTAAAGCAGACTCAATAATTATGGTACTAAGTCATGAAAGAAGACTTATTGTAACAACTTATCATAAAAACATAATCAATACAACCAGAGCTGTAAGTGAATGTAAACATGATTTAGTTTTATCTACTATCTGAAAAGGCTTTCTTCTGATAACAGAAGTGCTTACTGTAGTCCACTTGCTTTTTTCTTTGAATAGTGGTTGTTTAGCATTTGGAAAAGCGTATGGAAGGATAAATCAGAATTTTTTGGATACAACCTCTTCAAATAACTTTTTCTCTTTGAAATCAACATATAGTTGCTGTTAGCAACAAATGTTTGCTGAGCTCTGTGACAGTAGCAAATGGATTGTGGAAACATTCCTGTACCACCAATACAGCATTGCTCTGGCTGGTGCTACAGGGGAAAAGGAATACAGAAGGGACAAGCAGGGAGCTGTGTTAAATGCTCCAGCTGAGAGCAACAGGCAATATTCTGCAGTGGTGGCTGAGCATTTTTCCTGGCCACATGGCCTTATTTTTCCTGGCAGGAACAATGGGTTGTGTGCCCAGGGTTCCACTGCTCACTCACAGCTGCACCAGGGTATCACACTGGAGTCAGCAGTAACAGCATATATGGAAAGTAATCCATGCAGGCAATGCTAGAATTCTGTACTGGTTTATTTCTGACTATTCAAAAACACCTTTACTATACTTTACTGCTGTCTAATAGCACCAAGAAGTGCTGCAGGCATTCTTCCAAAAAGAGATGAAAATTTTGTCACAAATACATTGATTGCAAAGCAGCTCTAAAACAAAGTCCAAGCGACCCTATTCTGTACCTAGAATGGAAAACAAATAGGAGGGTTTTGACTGGAAGACTCAGTGTAATGCAAAACATACTAAAAAATACACATTCCTTTTTTTTTGGTCCTTCAGTACTGCAGAACAGTAACCTATGAATACCAAAAAGTAACATATTTAAAATAAATTTTACTACATTACTTTTTAAACTGTAGACTTGACTACCTAGGATGCAGCAAAAGAAGGAAGTTAGAACATTCTGTATAGAAGATTTAAGTCAGAAAATCTTTCATCAACACTCCTTGTCTGATGAGATAACAATATAAATTATCAAGGTCTTTTGGTTGGTTATCCAGTTGGCGTTTTTTCTGTGTTTGAAAGCCTCATTCACCAAAGCTCAAGTTATTCACATAAGTATCTCAAGTCTCTCGAAAGAAAACTGTTTGGGCTTTCTTAATCTGACATGCTTTATGTTTTGTACAAAATACTCAGTATCTAAGTATTTGAAATGTGTTACTGCATGATCAGGTGTACACACTGAGCCTGTCCAACACTCAATAAAACCACCACTACCTTCCACACAAAATAACAACAAAACTGTACAAAGGTCCAGTACAGAGATGATCATCCATGCTGATAGTTTAGCAAACAGTTAGTACAAAGCCAGTGTTCATTTCTTCATTCACTAGACAGGACCAGAGACTAAGAAACTTTTATTATTTGTTGTCTGTACTGTGCTGGTCCATTGTTTGCAATATTTATCTACTCCATTTTAGGATGTGGGGTTTTTTGCTAGTGTTAAGACTTGTCTGTCACAGGCCAAAAAAGATCTTCCTCCATTTGAGTGAAAACTCCAGCCAGTTCATAAAACAAATTATTTGTTTTTCTTGTTTCTGGTGCTATTAATTGTTGCATATACATCATTAAACTGTTTTTAAGTGCAACATTTTTCATCTTTTTAAACTCCTCCCATAAAATGGCATGGAAGTAATAATAAAATCACCTAACTACTTTGATTTTATTAGCAGTACTTTACCAATGACTGGAAAACTCCCACAGGGCTGTAACAGTGTTAACACGGGGCAATAGGAAGGTTCCCTTGTCAAGAGAGAACCCTCCTGGGTGCCACAGAATAGCAACAGACAACCAGAAAAAAATACCACACCTCAGTTGAGCAGTTGAAAATACTTTGTTTAGATTTTAAAGGAAATTTGCATCTGTTCCTGCGGTGCATAAAAGCAGTGGCTGATTTTGGAAAAGCGTTCAAGTCTGCTGTTGAGACTTCATTGTTATCATTATAAAAGCAGTGGGTAAGGATGTAAGGATGAACTGATTTGCAAAGTCAGGATCAAATGTCACTGCATTCCTTGCAGTCTCACAAGCTTCTCTTTAATTGCTGACTTGTAACTATTGTTTTATCTTTGTTACGAAAAAGTTTTGCTAATGAGCACCTTACAATGACTCACATCTGTTGGCAAAATGAAACTCCAAATCAAATTAATTCAAAGCAAGATTTTACATTAGAAATGCAATTACAAGAGAGCTGAACAGCAAGATACTTTGAAAATCACTTGAATTTGTTCCCACTCCTTCTCAAGAGCAAGGAAAATATGTTCTTGCTTCTCCTTTCCTGTCCCTATTTTTAGAACGAGAATGAGAAAGACCTGATCTGGCAGCCTGCACCCCGTTTAAATTATGGAATATCAAGTTCAGAAGTATTTACTAGATGGAATTGAATAGTTATAAATGACATTTCTGTTTCAGTTTCATTCTCTTTTTAATTTGAATTTAAAGAATGTCAGTTACCAGTTCTGGCACTATGCTAGACAAGCAAGCATTTGCACTATTTTAAAAAACAAATCATATTTATGACAGGATAAGCATAGAGATAAAAATTTTTCTAAACTGACTTTTTCTGCAACTCAAGCATCTTAGAAGCTGTGTGCAAGCTGTGTTTAAATTACTGATGTACACTCAAAACATGATGATGTTCATTACAAGTGCAGACAAATGCAAATCGTAAAATTTGGCCATGTGTAGGAGGCAAAAAAAAATAGCTTAACTTGTGAATGCTAAAATGCTGCTGATAATTTTATGTAAGTTTCAGTTACTCCTGAACTATGCTTAAATCCTGTATGACAAGATCTTTAATGTGGACTTGATGCCTTTCATAGCAATAAAGGTAATATGTGCTATTCATATCACTGCGTTTCAAGGTTTAATACCTTCGAATAATGTTCTGCTATGTGTTGCCTAGTAAATATAATTATCATTTGAAATGGTAACAATAAGAAGCAATATCTAGTTTAAGGTCTAGCATTTCAAAGCATGCATTTCAGATTTTCTAACATGAGGAAGCCATAATGGAGACTCAGTAAGCAAATAGAATAGATTCCATAAACATTATTTCTGTTTGGTTCCAAAGTTGTCTCTGATGGTAACTTCTTGTAGCCTAATTTGAGTGCTTGCTTTATCTTTGTGCATGTAAAAATGGGAATCAATACTGTGTAGTGTAAGTTAAAGTATCCTTTGTAGTGTTTTTACAAAAACTCACATCATCTGTTTTTCCTCAGTATTTAACAAACTGTCACAATTCATTTTAACAAATGATCCTGGAAGAACAACACTGGGTTAGACCTCCGACAGCAATGTTTTAAAATAAAAACCCTTATAGTCAGCATAAACTTTATGCCTTTCTGTTTGCTGGCTGGACCAGGCCACTGTTCAGAAACCCTCTGCACAGGAAAAACAGTGAAGTAAGCGTTTAACTGATTTCCTGACTCAATGCTAAAATCTCCCTCAATTATTTATACCCTGTACCAGAAATAATAATTTTTGTCTTCTGCTGACACACTCTTGACCACACAAAAACTATCTTGGAGAACAGTTAACCCTGCTCGTTTCTCATTGGCTGGTTCTCAAAGCTCTGTATACATTTTAAAAAATATTCTACAGCTCTGGTAGTGATCTCCTGGATCTTTTCATACACTTTTCCCATATTTCATTCTTTACAATGCTCTTCCAAGCTTTTTAATAATTTGAAGATGAATCTTTATCAGCTTTCTTAATGAATGAGATCAGCTCTCCCACTCAGCCTCCTCATCTGTCTCATCAGCCACCCCTTACCTGAGATTCCACCCTTTTTATTTTTGTGCTTTTCCAACAGACAAGAATTTATTCTGAATCTCTTCCTTTTTTGTGAAATACTCTTCAATAAAGGGATACTATTCTTGTCATTGGCAGCAGTTTGGCAAAAAAAGTAGGATGAGTGTATCCTATTGGTTTATTGATTTTCACTAGGCTATAGTTTACACCACATTACATTCTCTGAAAGACTAAGTGGAGTTTTCTGGGGTTTTTTCTCCCCAAAGTAACTTTCAAATATGCCTAAATACAAGCAAGCAAGATTCTTTGCAAACCAAATGCTTAAAATACATATTCATTTGATTTAGTTTTATTAAAAATTTTAAAATACTTCCATCCTTAAGCACAGTCAATTCAGAAGAGAAACTGCATTGGCAAGAAGCTATGAAAGTGGAACATGTTCCAAATGAAAATCAGTGTTCACATCAAACTCTTTTGATTGTGATCATGTCAGGAAGGAAAGTCCTGAACAGCTGAAAAATTATATAAGAGCTTTAACAATCATTTATGTGACCTGCTGAGTGCAGAAAAATCAGACTAGGAACTGCAATGACTGGCTGATATCCAGATCAAGGCTGAATTGTTCAGGATTTCAAATCTATGGCAAGTACAGCTGCAATGTTCTTAAACTGTTCTCACTGTTTAGATTACTCTGTAGTCCATGTGAAACCGCTTTCAGATGAGATAAAGTTGCATTTTTATGAATTGTACCTTTTTAACCCAAACAAGGAGCTAATTATTTCTGATGATCTTAAGGGAAGATTTACTTATCTATCCTCAGGCAGGCAATATGCTTTTATTTAACTTCAGAACATTATCAGCAAAATGAACTTTGATAACAGCTCAAAGAAAAAGGTTTCAGCAAGAAATTTGTTGTTTTAAGATACATGTAACCCTTTAAAAGATCAGGTAAAGCCAAAAAAACCCACACTATAAAAAGAGTGGAACTATTAATTTTCTCAGAATGCATTAGGCATATTTCTCTCTCTGTTGTAACTGGAAGACACAGGTTGCTGTCCCAAAGTTTAGAAATGAGAAATACAAAACAGCTTAAATGAACGACTCAGCTTTAATGGAGAACTTGAAAAATACAAAAAAAATACTTCATTCACTATCTTTTCTAGGTATAAATTAGAAATTTATTTGTGCTTACCTATTCTCTAGTGTCTAGTACCTAATTCTACAGACTGCTTCCCAACAGGCAAGTTAAAATTTGTACCAGGGATGGGTACACCAAGGCTTTGTACACATTTTGGCAATACCCTTTGTACTCTTGCTAGCTGACTCTTGGGATATTGGATTTTAGACCAGAAAATGTCTATGAATGATATATTTATGAAAGATCCCACTAACTTCAGAGGGACTACTTGAATTTTATGAAGTTAGGTAGAGAGGATGTGAATAGCTTAGGTTTTCTTGTTAAGATTTTAAGTACTTGCATACATTTTTAAGGAATGATTCAATTCTTTTTCAGCAAGTTTGCTTGGGCTGAAAAGATCAAACCATTCATCACATTATGGCCCATCTGCACTCTCTTCATGGAGAACATTCCCTGGTGCTACTTAAGGGCAGGTGCTTTTGAATATTATCTCCAGTATTTTGTTATAAATTTACCAGTGCAGCTACAGTGAGAAACAATGGTTTCAGGTAAGCTGAGTTTTGAAACAAAGTATTTCAAAATTATAAGCAATTTTTTTTTTTTAACTTTGAGAAGTTAGAGTAGAAATATTCTTTTTAGATGTATTTAGAAGCTTGTATTGTTCATATGAAACTGATACTTAATCAATAAGGAATATAAGCTTGCTTTTACTGTGTGTTTTTGAGAATTGCTATGGTCCAGTTGAGGGTACCATAGAGATTCATGCATATTTTGCATGACAAATTGTAGATGAAATCCCCATGATTTAAACATTACATACCTCATATCCACGGGATAATATTTTTAAGAACTTCTACTATATGAAACAAGCTAATGTCTACAAATTAAAACTTGAAGCTCACAGTAGATTTTCTGAGTATCCTACCTCTGGAAGTTTGTAGAAACCAACACTGCAATAATGTCCTTGTGCTGTTCTAAGCACTGTACTGACATGTAAGATTCATGCTCTCCCCCATGTGTCACAACTCAAAGCACGATCAGGTAAATCATATCATTTCTGCAGATATTTAGAAAAGGTTGGCAGAATTTTTAGAAAGTTATTCCCTCCAACCTGTATATTTAGGTGAGTCATTTGTTCCCTCTGAATTCACTTTCCTCAGGGCAGCCAAGTGCATAAGTATTTCTGGCACTGATGGAAATAATCATCTGCTGTATCACTTTTTTCCCATGTGGGAAGTACATTTACTCTCCAAAGAGGAACTGAAACAAAATTGTCACCATTTTGACCAGTGGCAACACAGAACAAACAGGAAACACTTCAAGGGAAATATTTACAAAAATAGCCTAAACAGAAGACATAAGAAGCTTTCATATTATGAATGAATACTTAAAAGCAATAATCTATTTCTTGCCAACATTCATGAGGCAGGAAGGGAGTCAAAATTAATTGGATTAGAAAACATGTAATTTTTCTTTAAACTGCACTTAATGAAGGTTATTATGCATGGAAACTGTAATTATGGACCGTGTATGTATTTTATATGCATCATCTATGTCCAGTAGAATAGGTAGCAATAACTATTAGTGAATTTTTCATACAAATTAATGGCTGAAACAACATTGACTTATGCTGAAAGTCTGAAGTACACACTACTCCCTGCATCCACTGGTTATTTCAGCATCACTTACTGTCCCACTCACCTACTGTCCAGCAATGTTGTCACAGGGCTGTTGGGATTAGAAACTGGGTGCTTCACATCTCTCAGTTACATACTGTTGCTGAAGATACTTACTGGATGAAGTTACATTCTTCATTTAAGGAAGAAAAAACCCCAGACAAAACAAAAAATCTTGATGCCTTTGTTGCTTATGGCAAGTGAGGAACTCCCATTTACAGACATAAAATATAGGAAAACAACTAAACAAAGCATGAAGTTACCACAAGTGTAATTTTTGTCTACTTTCTCATAGATCCCTCAATAGAAAAAAACAGCCCATATAAAGGGTTTAATTTTCAGTGCCCTTTGTTTTCCAAGCCTGCACTCTGATGTTGTGTCATGCCAATGAAGATCACTGTGGTATCATAGCAGAGCCACTCCTGCATACAGAGCTGTGTGCTTGCTGTGCAGAAGCATTACTCAACATGGCAAATGTCTGTGCAAAGGAAAAGCTGCTGTGCCTACTGCTTGTCCAAAAACAGGACAGGATCAAGTACGCAATCCAACAGGGAAGCTCTTTCAATTCCAACACACCATTTTATAGCCCACTTTTTGCAAAATGAAAATCTGTGTTCAGGTTTTGGCAGTCTGACTCAAGACCATGTTTCTGAAATCACAGACTTTAATGGAAACATAAAGTTGATACACAAAACAACATCCGAAAACAGATCTGAAACATCTAAATTGGACTGTGACAGGAGCAAGCTTTGGTAGAATTGGATTATTTAGAATAACCATCACAACGCTAACAACGAGTCACTCGGGATTTACATCCCAACATTTGTAGCAAACTAAAGGTTACCCTTAACCATGGTAGATTACAAATAAACACAAAAGTAGTGCTGATCATTTACTCTTCCACATAGAACATGACTCACAGTCTGATTGTTCTCCCAAATATCAAGTCACTTTTGTATGGACAACATTTTTGTATTTCCCCTTAAATAATTCCAGTGACATTTTCCTTGTGTAGTTTCAACAGCAGTGTTTTAGACCAATTTTGCTGTGCAACTGGTTTTTTATTTGTTACTTTCAAGGTGTTAGGTTTATTTGGAATTATATGATGGCAGTGTTCTGTGCATGGCAGTATATGCCTTTTGGAGCTGAGAGGTGGTCTCCAACCCACTTAAGAATACTGCAAACAAAATCTCTGTACTTGAATATCTGCAAAAGGTATGCTGAGGCAGAGGACATCCTGTGGCAGAGCTGCAGGAGGGGGTGAGAAGACAACATAACTTCAGGCTGTGAAGAAGTTGGATGGCTGGTTCCAAGGGCAGCCTGCAGTAAAGAGGCAAAAACTCCCCTACCACGCACATACAGACGGGAGGCGGGGTGTCAGTAAGGCAAAAGAATGAACCCTTAAAATGACCTGTGGGAGGAAGAGATTCCCTGAAGCCTGAGGTGCCCCTGCAGAACCACTTCAGCACTCTGCAGGCTGTAGAGGGAGGACCCATCACATCAGAAGTGAGGCTGAAGCTGAGTAAGGCAGCCCCATCTGCTCCCTGTGTAACAACCAGCACGAGCTGGTTGACAGATGAGAGTAGCAGGGTACTCTCCTCTGAGAGGCACAGAGGGACCCACTTATCAACCTGACAGATTACCAGAGAGCTATAGCAGGGATGTCACCCAGAGCCTCGTGCCAAGCCTTACACAGTCTCCTGACCATTATCTGTGCTGTTGTTTCATGTGGTACAAGGGATACAGCCAGGATTGGTCTGAGGAAGACCAAGGATGTTACAGATCCCTGGGAGTGGCGGTGAGGGACTCAAGTGCTGGCAGCTTTTTCATCAGTCCTCCCTGTCAAAGGGAAGGGCTTTGAAAGGGCCAGGTGAATCTAGCAAATTAGCAAATGGTTAGGGGTCTAGTGCCACAGCCAGGGCTCTGGCTGCTCCTGGGGACTCGCGATGAAAACCTGGGCTGACAGAGTCTGATGTGGGCCCATCTGCCAGGGAACAGGCAAAGCATCTCTGGTCACAGGCTTGCCAAGCTGATGAAGAAGACATTAAATTGAAGTTGCTGGGAGAGGGAATCCTCAATCCATTCCACTCCTACTCATTTAATGCCAGCACCAGCAAGGGATGCCCAGAGCCTGGAGAGGGATTGCAAGACAGAACCTGAAGTGCTGTGCAAGGGAATTCCAGCCATTCCTGCCAGTAAGTCTGCTCCATCAGGGGCTCAACAAAAATGCCTTTGTGCAAATGCACATAGCATGGGGGATAAACAAGAGCAGTAGGAGACTGTGCACACCTGCAGGACTGTGCATACTAGCATAGGATATGTGGTAGGATGGCTCCTATGACTGGTGTGTTGGAGTGGAAGGATACAGGCCCTTTCAGAAGGACAGACAGGTACAGCAGAAAGGGATGCTGCCCTCTAGGTCCATGACCACATGGAGTGTTTGGAGCTGTACTGGGGTTGGATGAGGAGTTTATGGGTCAGGATTAAAGGAGGGCAAGGAAAAGTGACATTATAGTGGGGGTCTAAGGCCACCCAGCCAGGAGATGAGACCCAAGCAGATGAGACCCTCTACAGAGAGACAGGCACTGCCTCATATTCACAAGCCCCGGTCCTCACAGGGGACTTCAGCTACCCCAATATCTATTGAAGGGACAACACACACAGGGGAGGAGCAATCCAGGAGATTCTTGGAATACATGGGTAGGATACTTCTCGAAGTGACAGAGGAGTAAATGAGGAGAGGTGCCATGCTGGACCTTGTTCTTTCCAGCAAGGAGAGGCTGGTGGGGAACATGAATCTCAAGGGTAGCCTTGGCTGCAGTGACACAGAATGGTGGACTTCAAGATCCTCAGGCCAGCGAGGAGGCACACAGCAGCTCACTAACCTGGACATCAGGAGGACACACCTTGGCCTCTTCAGGGATCTTCTGGGTAGAGTACCATGGGATAAAGCCCTGAAAGGAAGAGTGACCCAAGAAAGCTGGTTAATATTCAAGGATCACCTCTTGCAAGGTCAGGAGCGATGCAACAAAGAGGAAGTCAGGCAAAAACATCAGGAGACCTGCATGGATGAACAAGGAGCTCCTGGGAAAACTCAAACACAAGAGGAAGCCTATGCTTCCCCCACAGAAAAAGGGTGAAAGCAAGGACTCATAGCCTGAGAGGAATACAGATAAATTGTCCAAGCAGCCAGGGATCAGGTCAGAAAAGCTAAAGCCCTTATAGAAATCTATCTGGCCAGGGACATCAATGGCAACAAAAAAAAAACTTCTACAGGTACACTGGTGAAAGTGAGAGCCCTCTCCAGAAAGAAATGGGAGACTTGGTTACCTGGGACACTGAGAAGGCTGACTCAATGACATTTTTGCCTCAGTCACCAGCAAGTTCTTCAGCCACTGAGGCCCAAGTTTACACAAGCCCCTTTGCTGAGGTGGCAAAGGCACGGACTGTGAGAATAAAGAACCACCCACCACAGGGGAAGATCAGATTCCAAACCAGCTAAGGAACCTGATGACAAAATATGGAAAAGTGATTGGTGACAGCCCACGTGGCATCACTAAGGGCAAACCCTACAAATATCCTTCTATGACAGAAGTACAGTGCTGGTGGATAAGAGAAGAGTGATGCCATCTACCTGGACTTGTGCAGAGCGTTTGACACTGTCTTACGTGACATACTTGTCTTCAAACTGGAGAGGCACGGATTTGACGGAGGGACCATGTGGTGGATAAGGAATCGGCTGGATGGTCACGCTCCGAGTTGCTGTCAACAGTTTGATGTCCAAGTGGTGACCAGTGAAGACTGCCATTCCTCAGGGGTTGGTATTGGGATGGGCAATGTTTGACAGCAGGATCGAGGGCACCCTCAGCAAGTTTTTCAAGGACACCAAGCTGTGTGGTGCAGCTGACACACTGGAGAGAAGGGATGCCATCCACAGGGACCTTGACAGGCTTGAGAGGTGGGCCCACACAAACCTCGTGAAGTTCAACCTGGTTGGAGAATGGAAGATGTTCAATATCACCAGGCAGTGTGCTTCTACAGCCCAACAAGCCAATTGTATCCCAGGCTACATCAAAAGCAGCATGGACAGCAGGGCAAGGAGGGGTTTCTCCCCATCTACTCTATTCTCGTGAGACCCAACCTGGAGTGCTGCATCAGCCCTGGAGGCTCCAGCATAATGAGTTCATGGACCTGTTGGAGTGAGTCCAGACAAGGGTCACAATCACAGGGCTAAGCACCTCACTTATAAGGACAGGCTGAGAGAGTTTGGGCTGTTCAGCCTGGAGAAGAGAAAGCTCTGGAGAGACCTTAGAGCAGCCTTTCAGTACCTTAAGGGGGCCTACAGGAAAGCTGGACAGGGAGTCTTTTACAGGGGCATGTAATGTTAGGAGAAGGGGAATGGCTTTAAACTAAAAGGAGGCATTTAGATATAGGTTAGATATTAAGAAAAAATTCTTTACTGTGAAGGTGGTGGGGTACTGGAACAGGTTTGCAAGAGAAGTGGTGGATGCCACATACCTCCCTGGCAGTGTTCAAGTCCAGGCTGGATGGGAATTTGAGCAACCTGCTTTAGTGGAAGGTATCCCTCCCCACAACAGAGAAGTGGGCTGGGGGGCAGGGAGTTGGAACTAGATGACCTCCAAGTTCCTTTCCAACACAAACCATTCTATGATGTTACTATCCTATTCTATGAATTCAATCTAAAAATCCCGTATGGCCTATTTTTAACTCATAAAAGAAGCTATGGTTGTACAGGATTGTATGCTTTAACATTACTAATATGTCAATGATGGAAAGTAAATGTGTCAGACAAACACTCTTGATTGCCATCAGTCTATACAGCTTATCTTGTATCAAATTTATCTCCATTGTGCTAAAGGTAAGAAGTTAAGACTAATAAAACAAATTTTTCTTCTCATTAAGACAAGACAATACATTTTACAAGACTTCAAATGTTGAATCTCAAGTCCTCTATTGAGTTACTAAATGTTTGCTTCCAAACCAAGATATTGGCTTTGTTAGTGCCAACGTCATTCTAACACTTGTCATTTGATAGCAAGCTCAGTAATCTGGGAGCCTGTTTCCCTCCTCCCTTCTATATATTGTTTGTGCTTCCTGCTTAGATCAAGTGGTTGTATGCTAACAGCCACTATAAAAGTAGCAGTTCAAGTACATATGACCATCCCAGAACGCTGTAACACAGGATGGTTAGTCTAAAAAAACACCAAGGATGAAGTGCAAGGCCATTTGCACTAAGAAGTTGCCAAATGGAACCATTTGCAAACTGGCAACTTAGAAAGAAGTACCAGAACTACAACTCTTACCCAGCTTGATATGTTTTCTGAAAGGGGAGAGTACCAATTATAGTCTTCAGCATAAATAACACACTTTAAAAACTACTAATAAAGGGGTTTGCCAATTTGAAAGTTAGTTGTTGATTGTACAAAGAACGAGCCAATGGACTTCCCACTCTTTGCCTCCTTGTTTTCCTCAGGAGTCCATTACCTTTCACAAAGAAAATTTTAGCTATCAAACTTGTCCATAAATTTTGCCGCTGAGTGTGAAACCATCCAGTTAGCATATACACTATCATTTGCATATCTTGAAAACACAGAGTTAGTGCCATCGAATCTTGTGAGTGGAACGGGGCTCTCCTCAGGCCAGTTCGGGTATGACATGCCTAAAAATGAAAACAGATAATTTTTTCTGCACTGAAGAACCATAACTTCATGTGCAGACAGTAAGGCCCTTGGCAAAACTCCCTTCAATACTTTAAGCCAGTCCACTGGATTTTGTCCCAAATCAATTCATATAAATGATGTTTTGAAATCCCTGAAGCAGAAATTCAGATGCAGGCAAAAACCCTGGATAAATTAAAGTGCTTACTCAATAAAAAATTGTGTGCATGCACGCACATGTGCATAATAAAATGCTAAGAATTGTTCTTCCCATAAGCCTCCAACTTTCCATAATTTTATATTTTAGCAATCATGCAGCAATATATTGCTTTGCAAGAGAAAGTTCTTGCTGTACAGGAAATGCTCCAAGAATTAATAAACCTATTTGGGACAGGATCCAAAGCCCATTTCAATGATAGAGATTTACTTAAACTGGTGCTTTTCCTTTGGCTTCAGTGAGGTTCTGGGGACGCTTTCACACCCCCACCAGGGATCCCCTGCTTAATTTCAGGAAATCCCAGGAGTGCAACTGAGTAAAGTCCAACAAAGTGCTGAGCACTCCTGTCTTGATTCAGCATTTAAAGTTGTATTTCAGGCCTGTAATTATTTGCATTGAGTGCAGTAACTGTTTCTGTGTTTAGGCACAAGTGATCACCAAAATGGATGCAGAGTGCTTAGCGCCATGTTGATTCAGCTGTGCAAGCGCAGAACCAGCAGCAACAGAATGGTTGAGATTTTCAAAAACAGAAATCTGATTCTGTTGCTTATTAAGCATTCAGCATCTGCCATCAACCTTGTGGCAACTTTTTTCTGCTACTTCATTCTTTTAACAGTCTGACCACTAAGTGCCGCAAAATCAACAACAGTTGAGTGAACCTAATGAAGAAAATAATAGCTAAGGTGTAAGATCAAAAATAGACCCAAAGCCATGTATTAATGGCAACTTTTAAACTAAAAGATCCAACTTTGCAAAAGTCATACTGCTTGAAGAATGAAAAAAGTATCTGTGATGTTAGTAAGTATCTAAAACCATGTAGAATATTTAATCAGAAGACAAAATATAGGAGTTTTGGCAAGAACCATTTTTACTGTCCATCTCACCATCACAATATGAAAGCATATGTTCTTTTTAAAAACACTTGCTACATCATTCAGTCGAGGTTTAGTACTAACATGTTCATAACAAATCAAAGGACGTGAAAACAGGTGATATTTTCAAAATGCCCATTGTTAATTAAGTTTTCAAAGGATTTTACAAGTCAGTTTAGTCTGTATATAATATTTATATACAGTATTTCTACCTTCTGTATATAATAATCTGTTTTCATCCTATGATACATTAAATACATTTCAGCTTATAGATCCAAAATGTACTAATAGCAGCTGAAATTTAGACATCCTTCTTAATAAATGAAAAATGTTGTAGATGAATCCTATCACTGAGTTATGGTAAAAAACAGTATTTAAAAAAAAAAAGTCTATTGCTTAAATTAGAGGTGCAGGATCTAACATATTTTAAATGCTGTAGCCTCCCCCAACAGGATAGTTGAATTAGATACTCATTAGCATTTTATATTTCCCCTGAGAATACTTCCCTGATCTTTTTTTTTTTTCACTTTTACTGTATGATATCTAGTCATTTTACTTATTTTCACATCCTTTTAAAATGCTTATTTTAGACACAGCTGCAAAATGACTAAAGGATGATCCTGATGCAAACTTCGACATTTACCAAAAGAAAAAACAAACAAACAAACAAACAAAAATAAAAACCCAAAAGAAGCTTCCAAGCAAATTTTGATTGGCTTCATTCAGACAAGAAACACTGTAATGGGGTTACAGAGTCTGAGAACAGTGCAGAAGAAAAATCAACTTTTTTTTTGTGTGTTGCTAGAATCTAGTAAATGCATGTGAAATTCTACCATAGAGTTTGTTTTCAATCCATGTGGAAGGGAGGGTTCGAGGGAGGGGAGCATTATTACAGTCCACGAGAGGTGTCTCCTCTTCTGAGAGCCCATCATCGTACAGTAAGGAATCGGAGGGAGTGGAAGCCGCAAGGTCTAAGTAGTCCTGAGGAATGAATACACAAAAAGCTGCGTTAATGTGTGTGTCAATGCTGCTGCTTGGGTAAAAAAAGGGTAAGTGTGCACCTGCTTTCTTTACAGCAAGGAAAGAACAGACCCACTGCATGTATCTTTCTCTAGAACCTCTGGCACCTGAGGAGGCTCTGCTTTCCAGCAGCCACAGCAGCTCTGGAAGCAGCTGATTTGCCTGAACACTGTCCCTGCTAGAGATGTATGAATACTTCCCCTACTTAATTCTGCATATCAGCAGAACACCCAACAGACTGCTTTGTTTGACCTTCAGCTTCTGGTATGCCAGATCCATGTGTATATGCCTGAAATACATATACGGAGATACATACGCATGCTTAAAGGACAAGGTAGCCAAATCTCAAAATCGTTTTTCAAAAGCTACTACACCAAAATAATTATGTAAATATTGCCAAATAAAGCTTTAGTTGCTGTTCTAAAACTAAGTATTTAGGTCATCAATAAGAATTCATTGGTTTTTATTTAAGTTGCTGAATTGCTTTGATGGAAAAAAAAAACCAAGCATTTTCAACTAATTTAAAATGCATGAAATACTACATTCTTCTAGTTCTGGCTCTCTAATGTTATTTATTCAGGAGTGAAATTTAGGAATAATTTCTCACAATGGTTTTTAAATAATTACTATTATTTAAAGAAAACAGACAGGTTAAGGATAATCAATCCACATTTTGGGTTGAAGTCACCAAAGCTATTAGAAGTAGTACTGTTTTCAAAAAGCTGCATGCATGTGGAAGGAACTAGGCATGTAAATGCTTCAAGATTTGATGAAAAATAAATTACTTTGCTTTAAAATACAATTAGAAAGTAATTATTTCTGTACATTGAAACTCAGAAGGCCATGAAAACTTTCAGAATCCACGCTTTCCACACTTACCCTACTCTTCACCATCATCTTCTCTAGTTCCTTGCTGATCTCAGTAAATGTTGGTCTTTTATCAGGTTCTTGCTTCCAACAGCGCAACATGAGGTTGTACCTGGGACCCATCACAGGGTGAAAAAACCCCCAAACTGTTAGAAATGGGTCATTCATAGAGCTTCTGCTCTAATGATTTACAGTACTGAACTTAACTGTGGCACAAAGGCTATCCACTCAATCTCTGTTGTGAGTTCTGTTCAATGTTCCCTGGAATTAACAACTGACACAACAATGGGCTTTTATTTTCAAGAGTCTCCATGAGTTTAAATGATGATGCACTTGGCTGTCCTTGAAGGACTGTAGTCTTAGGTTTCACTTTCTCAAGGGACCACCCCAAGTGTAGGGCAGCATGCCGGATTTCTAATTCACTTTGTATATGACACTGAGGAATCCTTGTGTATCAACCTGAAAAACTCTGCTGTTACACCAAAAAGCAGAATTTTGTTTTTCATTGATTCAAATTCTTTAGTTTCAGTAAACTTCTTCAAAGGTGAAGCCTAGCTTAAGACTATTTGCAGAAACTAATGTTCTTTTCATTACTTCTATTATTTTGCTTTTGATTAAACATATATTTATTCTCTCTTTAACTGCCTTCTATAGCACAGATTATGGAAAAGAAAGGGAACAGAATTCAAGTTTTATAGTTGAGTGACTATCAGACAGACATTGGCATGTTCTGGAAGTGTAACTCTCCAACCTGTGCCATTCATGTAATTTTTCTAGCTCAGCTGTTCTCAGGACTGAGTGATCTGTCCACTTAAGTGCTCTAATGGTGGAAACAGTGGGCTATGAGAACTATAGGAAGCCTGAGAAGCGCTGCATTTTATGCCTTCATCCACGATCCCTCTCCTACTTGACTGGATATAGGAGAGAATGCAATCTGAGAAAAATGGTCCTTAAAGTGGGCTTTCACAAGCTGTCAGAAAAATTTCTAAGTAAAACAGAAGAAAATCTGAAAGAAGTCAGAAAACCATGATTTAGCTTTAATAAAAAAATCCCAGAAACTCAGTGGTCAGCTTGTCTAAACTAAAAATTATCAGTGATATAACATGTTTGCGGAATGAGTATTCCTCACTGAGATGAAACAAATAAAAAATTAGTATTATACATTTTTTAGACAATACTTGCCACTCATTCTTGTAAACTCCTATACTACCCTAAATTTGGAAATATTTAATGTTTTTCTATGTATGTTAAAAAAAAACCCTATTATTTATACTATTATTTATTTAAACTGTTTTCTCAGCCCAGATGTGGTCAAAGCATCCTTCCAACTGAAAATCAGTCAAAAGAGAGGTCACAATGATTGAAGCTTGGGAACTTTGAAAAAACCACAGCCACGATCAGATTTGCAGGCTGAACATAAAATCATGCCTCATCTCCAAATGCCATGGATGATCACAGACAAAAGATATTTCACATTGACTGTGTTTTAATAAATCAGCCAACAAATTGTGAACTGTCTCCAAAGCCATGGGTTTATCAAGTCACAGAAAATTTTTATCTTCAAGGGTCTAGATTTCTGGGGCAAAGTATCATTTTTCCTCTGGAATGCCAAAACAACAACGACTGTGCATAGAATATCTGTTTCATTTGCAGAAAGTATTACAACATTTTCTTGAATATTTCAGCTACCACTGTGTTTTATGGAAGTTTTTTCCTTCTCCCACCCTCAGAAATTTTGAATGTACAAACTCTTTTAATTGTTTGGCAAGCATGTTATTCAATACCTAAAAATGGTTTGGATATAGCTGTAGGCATTCTGTGGGCAATTTTTTCCCCTCACTTTACTGTTCACTAATTTAATGAAATTCTTTAAAGCACAAGATATTTGACTATATCTCTAAGAAATACAGAATAGTATTTATGAGGTATTTATTTAAACTTTTTTTTCAAGTGTACTTATTAATGTGTTCTGAATCTAATCAGATCAAGAGTTACTTACATTTCTTCACTGCAGTTTTCTGGCCTCTCCATTCTATAGCCTGTTTTTAGGAGGTTAAAGAGTCTTTCAGGAGCAATACCAGGGTAAGGATTGCCTCCTAAAGTAACAATCTCCCATAGCAGAACTCCAAATGACCATCTGAAAAAGACAAAATGAGCTTTTATACACAGTGGTAAGTTTCAGGAGCTTAGTGTGGCATTTACACAACAAATCTCCTCCTAGCATTTTCAGAACCCAACAAAGTTCATGACACCTCAAGCCAGAGGTGCTGCACAGATGCCATCCTTGTTCCCAAATACTGTTTATTGAAAAGGTTAGCAACCAAGACAGTAGAGAAAATAGATACCCCTCTTTTATCCATTGACAAAAGCTCATTATACCCTGGGAAGGTCCATCTTCTCTAGACAGCAGAAAGAGGAAGTCCTTCCTCTGGTGGCCCAGCCCAAAGACTTATTTCTCTGCTGCACAGTGCTCCTGCAACAGTCTGACCTCCCTAATTAGCCCCTGTATTCATAAATAACTCTAAATTAAATTAACAGATTTACCACAGGATTGGTTTGCTGTCTCAACTATGAGACAACACAATGTGTTTATTCCAATCACAAGTAACACCTTTGATTTCAGCAGGTCTGTTGGGTGATTTCAGTGATTCAGTGATTAATTTTCTTCTTAGACTTGATGAAAGAAGAGGAAAGAATTTCCTCTGGAAATACTAAATGCCTAAAATGAACTTTTCCACAGAACAGAAGAAACCATTTTCAGAAATGAACAGAAGAAATAGTGAATTTTTAAACTTACTTTACTGCCGAGCTCAAACAAAAAGACCTTGCACAATGGGTGAGAAATATTTAGATAAATTAGTCCATTTCTGGAGAGCAAGCCAGAAAAGAGGAAAAAATGTTTTTCTTTTCTTAGTGAAAGGCTTTTTGTGACAAGCTTCACAAAGAAGCTACAAATCACTGAATCTGCTCAACTGACAACTAACAAAATCTGGATGTTCAAAAGGAAGGAAACCAGCCAACACTGGGGCTGCTCAATGGGATGCATCTGGAAGCAAAATTACATACAATTTATGAAAAATGCTAGCTTTGGGCAATTTCTCTGTAAACTCCATTTTTAAGAAAATTTTAGGAAGTGTTAGAGACCTACTGCCAAACCAAACAGCCGTGTCTAATTCCCTATGAAAATTCCATCTGAAAATGTTAGCCAAATACCTCACACCTCCTGTCTGACTCCATCCCACCTGTACTTCTCACGTTTTAAAGAACAATGGTAACCCCGAAGGTACAGCAATAAAACTTCCCGAATTGTCAGAGAAGTCAAAGTGACTCTCACATGGTCTCAAGTGGTATGCTACTATTCTTCTCCCTAATGGCGTTCACTGAATTAATTTTTAATCATTCTGCACATTCTTGAAAGCTTATGAATATTTATAGCATTTTCATATACTTTATTAATATTTCTCCTCATACTCTTTTTAAAGCCAATTATGCTCTGCCATCAGGTTACAATTCTGTCCATGATTAATTCAAATAAACTTTGGAGCATGGCAGGTTTTATTTTTAAAATCCACTTCTGCTTAAGTGGAATTTTACAGAATACGGAAGGAGGGATCAGATGAATAATTTCTTAACTGAAGTTGTCCAGTAAGTGAACATATTAGAACAGAATGCTGTAAAATTCTGAAGTACTTTCAGATTGTTATACAAATTAAGGAGGAGAAATGAGAGAAGAAGAATTTCCCACTGTGTTATTTTTATAGCTGAATAAAAACATGATCACAAAAAGCCAGGAAAGAAAGTATGTGAAGAGGAAGATGGTAGGTTAGCTTTCCACTGATGTCATTGACCTCTGAAGCAAAAATGGGGTTTTTGTAAATGCTGGAAAGTGGTGCTGTTATTAAGCTCTGCTAACCACTAACTATACAGGACAGCTTAAGAAGGAAGAGGGTGAAAGCAGAAACACAGAATATCAGAACAAAGAGCATATTGGAATGGTTGTTGAGTAATATTTTCACCTAAAATATAGCTGCATCACCACAAACAACAAAGAATAGCCATAGAAGAGTACTTTCAGTGAGTGCAATGATCTAAAAATATCAATCAACGCTGAAAAAGTACTTAATTGATCAGTCTGCTGAAATGCTATCGTGGAACCTGGTGATGGAGAGGATTTGCTCTGCAGCTGTGTGTGTGTGTCTCAGTTCTGCTCTGCAGGAACTGGGCTAAATTAGGAGCTGCTATACAGCACTCCTGGATCATTGCATGTACAATGACACAGCAAAGGTAAGCCAGCAGTGAGACAGAAGCACGGTGTAAGCACAGCAGGACCCTTTCTGGCACTGCCTGGGTGCTGACGTGCACAGCACAATGCCACGCTCCTGAGGAAGCTCCAGGGAAGCTGGGCAATCAGCACAGCTCTACATGGAGATCCTAATCCAGCCCTGGGAAGCAGGGAAGCGACACAGCACCGGCACATTGCGCTGCCCAGGGCTCTGAGCTGGCTTGCTTGATGGCAGCTGGGCAATCTCTGCATGGTGCTGGATCCCATGGACAGGAAACAGGCTCCTGGGCTTAACAGCAGCCCATCAGGAAATGGGAGGAAGGCTATTGGATCCAGATGATTAATCAGCAATCAAAGAAGAGGCAGTTACATGACAACACAATCTGTTCTGGCCCCAAACCATGGTGACAAAACTGTTTTGCAGAAAATGAAGAAATTAAAAATTTGCTAAGAAGTTTTTAAAGGAATTTTAACAGTTCTTTGGGAACAGTAATTTTAGAGAAGCAAGTCAGCACAATGGGTGCTCTGAGGAGGATAAAAAGGGACCCAAAGAAACCTGTAAGCAGACCTAAGTAAAACTGACATTCTCTCAAGAATTATCGCTATTTTTTTATTTTCTTACTCCAACAGAAACAAAGTAAAGTAAAACGAAACAAAGTAAAGGAAAATATTTTGGAAATGCATTTTGTAGGAATTTCCAAGGCATGCAAAATATTTTATTTCACCAAAACTGCTCTATCTGCAGAGAGAAGAGTAGGAAGTGAATGGTAATAATTTTAGTATAAATCTAAAGGTGCATATTTTGACCTGCTGCTATTACTGAAGTGGTTTTCCCCTCAAAGTGCAATGCTGCCCAAATTGTTTTACTCCATTTAAGTGTAACAAAAACATTACTTTAGTCAGATTCTCTCTTTCAAGACAGACTTAGAAGGTATCAAGATGCTACCTAGCAGAAAATTAGGCCTAAGTACTGCTGCTTTTACAGTCCTTTAGAGGTTTTTCTCCTAAATAAATAATCTTTAGCTTTAGAGTCTGTCTGGTGACTAGTCACACGCATCGTTCACCCCAGACAGAAAGAAATGAAAGTATCTAATCCTGAATTAAAAATATCTACAAGCTTTGCCTCCTTTTCATCACAGGTGGAAATTCCAGCATATCCATCCTCAGAGTCTCTTCTTCCCTAATCATGAAAATAAGCTTGTATCTTGGCACTGAAACTGGACTGAGCTGAGCTGACTCGAGTTCTGTCACTGATTTCAACAGGGGAGAGGTCAGGCATTAAATTCCCCTTCCTTTCTGCCACTCAGTGTTACAGACAAGTGATGAACAGAACTGAGAAATTCAGGTATGACCCTTATCTGTAGCAAACTCTACTAGTAAACTCGTGTCTATATATGCAAAGTCAATCATGTCACGTGAACAGATGATTTCAACAGGAATTATGTACATAACTAACTGATAACCTTTTATTTAGATTTAATTCAGCAGCAAAAATCTTAGCTACCATTACCAGTTGATGGTGTCATCCAGACTTCCCTCATGTTTCTTTGAAGAGTAATGGATTTGGCTCCTACACACCTTGCTGTGCTTCCTCCCCCAGCTCCATAAACAAGCACACAAACCAGAAAGTATGTAAGAATGTACACTTACACATCACTTTGTGTTGTGTAGATATGGTCAAACAGGGACTCTATGGCCATCCACTTCACAGGGATTCGACCCTAGGAGGTTAAAAAGCAATAATGGTCAGAAAACTAAGTTTCCAAGTGAAAAAACAAGGTATGATTTGGCATTTCATAAGAAAAACAGTGAGGAGAATAAATGTAAGAGTTTTGTAAAAAATTAGTTCATGTCTTTTCACACACTTCAGCAATCTAATTATGTGCAATAAGCTGGGGTGGCTTTTTGCAGATGGCTATCAGTTTATGTCTGAGAATCTCAATTCTTCTCTTTACAAAGCATGTTGAAAATGTGCAGATGCAAAAATGATGAGGAATGATGATTAAAGAAGAAGAGCTATCCCATCTATACCAGAGATAATGCATAAATAGAAGCACCTGGATGTTACAGATGCTTTGCTTTCAGAACTAAACCTGGACAGTCATATTTGGCTTCTAGTTTCTAAGTGGAATCTACAAGTTGCCATTTTTCACTGGCTGAAGTTCACTGAGAAAATCTGAGAAATTCGCCCCAAATATTCATGAAAATCTAGGTCTGCAAAATTTCCAAGACGTTTCATAACCTTCACAGTATGATTAGCATTCTTATGCCTTACTTCTCATTCTCATGAAATTCATATATATCTATGCAAAAAGTATTTCAGTAGGATTAGAAACTTCTTCTTCCTTCTCAAATTCTTCTTTTTCCTGTCTCCCTACCCAAGCAGACAGATGCTTGTTAGGCTCTGAATAATACTACAGTGATGAGCGTCTCAGAAGTAAAGAGCAAATATCCATTCAGTACATCATGCCCCACCAAATGAAACTAAACTGCCAAACTGCCTTTATGCAAATGCATTGCTCTTGAAATACAGAGCAACTGGTATAAATCAATGTAAAAACATCCAAAATATCCATCACAAGACAGCTAAATGAACATGGCAATGCCCTTTTACATAAGATCATATTTTCTTGAAGTTTTTTTTCTTCACAACTCATTTTGACTTATGCAAGTCACATACACTGGCCTTTAAAAACTGGGAAAGCTAAACTAAAAATTCACAGTATTTATGGAAGCCTTCTCATAAAATTTTAAAATTATCACATGCAAAAAATTCTGTTGGCAGCTCTTTCATATTAAGCCATAGAGGGAACTGAACCACCACTGCTCATTTGATACAGTCAGTGGGAAGCTGTGTTCATGAACATCACAGTCTAGCCCAGGACTGGCTTGTGGAAGTTGTGTGGAACTTGATATAAATTGTCTGTATTTTTTTCAGCTCTTTGGTATTTTTAGTTTGTATTTTTAATTATAAATAGGAAGAGAAAAAAGAAAAAGATATGGGTTTTTTTGTTTGTGTTTTCATGTAGTTTGATGAGGAACTGGATAAATGAGGAGTGGAAGAGGTAATAGTTACTTCAAGATGATACATATTTTGCATATATATATATATATATATTGTGTGTATTTCTATCCCACTGGTTAAGCTCATGATTTTGCTTCATTGTCATTTTTATTTCCTTAAAATAATTATCTGAAGTTAATGAAAGCAGCCATTCTCCTTTTCATCCATGCTCAACTCCTACAGTATAAATTAATTTTCTTGATCAGGCAATAATTTCCACTACTGCTTTTAATACACACCGTACCTTGCTCCTCTTTACATACGAATCTTCTTCATATACATCACGTGAGAGGCCAAAATCAGAAATCTTCATTTTGCGCCCTTCTGCCACCAACACATTCCTGGCTGCTAAATCCCGATGCACGAGCTTTTGGAAGGAAACAACAGGAGTGTTTATGCTTCTCATGGAAGGAAAGGAAGGAAAACACAGGAGTGTTTATGCTTCTCGTGGAAGGAAAGGAAGGAAAACACAGGAGTGTTTATGCTTCTCGTGGAGGAACGCGCTGCTCCGCGTCTGCCGCACCTCAGATCTCACTGCCCTACCTTCATCTCTGCCAGGTACTGCATCCCTCGGGATATCTGCCATGCAAACGATATCAAGTCTCCCATCGTTAAGGCTCTCTCATCAGGGTTATCCAAATAACTGGAATTTCTGTTGCCATCACTGCCCACGTAGCTCGGGCCCACTTTTCGACTTTCCCTGAGGAAACTGCGTAAGGAGCCGTATTTGGCGTATTCCACAATTAAATACAGCGGGCCTGAAACAAACAAACCCACAGGTCAGTAAACAATTAACAGATAACCACTTCAGGGTTTTTTTCCAAACAAATCTCTTCTAATCGGCACATTGCTTCGAACAGTCAGGTGTTTGAACACCTCTGCCCTTTCTGTAAAAAGCACTGAGTTAGCCATGAAATTAGAGTATTTTTAGTTTAGATCCTCTGTGCAAAGACAGTGAGTTTCAGGCTAAATAAAAGCAGAATGCTGGCTCTTGCCTATAATCCCTCATCTAGATAATCTGAGACCAAAAATACAGACAACCTTAATACAAATTGGAGCTGTGAAACAGACTAACTTAGAGAAACTTTAAAATAAAAATAATCTTCTTAAGCTTGTGATACTGAGCTCAAATCATTGCTAATTCAAGCACTGTGTTTAAGGTGCCTATTGAGAGCACTTAGAAATATTCTGTCATTACAATCCATTAATTTCTCCTCCCCATTACCCACATGAATAATACCTACTCTGTGCTGTAATGCTAAATACATTTGTCTGCTGTATCAAAGCCCTCCTACCTCATATGCCAATGAATTAACTTGATATTTATTAAAAGCCTGTGACTCAGAAACATTTCACTTTCTCTGGGATGTAAAATACATTGTACTGAAAAGAAAAAAACTCTAAACCACCCCACTGGTTCATTACTTTACTAAGACTCAGGGGTGACTCACTCCTGAATTACATTCTCTGTCTACAACTAGAAAGTAACAGAACTGGGTGGGAAAAGAAGGCAGGATTTTGCCCAAGGTTGCAGAATCCATGCTGTCATTTTAGGCTGCACAACTGCAGATGCAAAAGGAAGAGAATGTTGCCATGCCACTTCACTTAAAATGAGAAATTTCTATACACAACAAAATTTGCTTCATTGGCAATTTATAATACATGTGTCTGCAGATTTTTCCCCTTGAAACACATTTGTTGATGACTATGGCCTTTAGAAACCATTTCATAACCAGAGGGAGACAACAGTTTCATGACAGTGGAAGAAAACTGAGTATCAACCTATCTATCCAGCTATATTTGTCTATATATGGCTGTAGTTGCCTATTTACATTGTTTTAGTTTAAATAATAACAACAATAATGAAAACTCAAACTTGAAATATAATTCATATTTGAAAACATTATTAATGTAATAAAAAAATGTATATTGATTGGAAGAGAATTTGTAGGAGACTTGTTTATTTAAAATAACTTCAGAATCAAAATGTGCATTGAGGAAAACCACAAGAAGAATGCTTACTTACACGAAATTAGTATTTCCCTTTCCTTTCAGGTACTGTTATTTTAATATAGCCCTCTTGTCAGCCAACAGCAAATTTAAAAGATGCTCAGCAATTATTAAGCAGTTGTTGAAATCCATCAACCAACTGTATTTTATTTCCTTTCTGGGTGGTTTCATCTTAGTAACAAGCTTTTAGTATTTACCATCTTGACTGCAGGCTCCATAAAGTTTGATGACATGAGGATGGTTGACTTGTTTCAGAAGGTTGAACTCTGACAGGAGATCTCGCAGCTCACTCTGGGAAGCATTTTCTGCAGAAAGTGACCAAACACACAGTTTTGGTTAGGAAAGCATCACCCAAGCATTCTTCTCTATGTACAGTCTGAAATATGAGATCTACCATCTCTCCCAGAGTTAGCAAGTGGTTGGAAAACTCCGTACAGGTTTTCTCTCCCCACAGAAGAGAAATTTTCCCATGTCCAGTGTCCTGCAGTCATTCACATCAGAACAAAGTGAATGAGACTGCTGCTGCTCTGGCTAGGTAGCAGCCTGCTCTAAGCATTGCTCTGCCCTGGTACAAATGACTGCAGAACAAGGAGGTCAGGCAAGAATCAGGAGCAGAGTCTATAATGCCTAAAGATGCCATGAAATTATTACTTTTCTAGTGTTCTAAAGCAACTTCTTAGGGTGAATTAGTGCAATAAAAGCTTCAGAAACATATGAAAACCAAGATCTCACACTGATCAAACAAAAAAGACTCACTCCTCCTAAATACATTTTCTAACAGAGTAAAAATCCACAAATCTACTGGCTTACTCTTCTGGCATACATCCAGATTTAGAGTTCAGAAGCTAAATGTTCAGTTCAGACTGATTTTACCAGGGGACGTGTATGCAGACTTCACTGATGTCAGTGAGAATCACATGGCAACATATAGCCCCAAGAGGCTTTCTTAGCCTTTCAAGTGTTTTGCCTTTTTGTAGAATTCTTCAGACTGACAAGCTTCCTCTTGGAGTGCACCGAGGCTTAAAGGAGATCTCCAGTCATAAAGACACCATAGGTCAGAGATCTTCTTCTTCCTCATCCTTAATCTCTCTGACACACAAAACCGGCCTGGATAGTTCCTCCAGTGTCATTACAGGGCACTGACAAGGATGTTCATCCTGATTTAAAGATAATAAAAACAAGCTTGTCTTCTGCTCTTTGGTACTGTACTGTATGTTTTTTGTCATAAAGGCTGTGAGCACCAAGGGATTTATTTGCCTATTCACATGTGACCTGTTTGCCCTCCTTGTGAAGAGGCTCATTCTGTTCTACTGTTATGTTTTTATCAGAATTGTACGTTTGTATCTGCCTTATATTTGTAGTCTGAATCTACACTCAGAGTAGAGATTCTTCTGCCGCAGGGAGCACAGTATCAGTTGGCCTCTCACTACTGATAAAGACTACAAGAAGTTATGTAAAACAAAAATTAAGAACATCAACTTCATACCTGTAAGAAAAGTCTTATTTTTGTAGTTCTGGATCTGTGTGATGTGAACAAACAGAACAGAGCAAAGTTCCCCATGTACCATGCCTGTTTGTCTGCTGAAAAAACTAACTTCAAATGGAAACATTTTGCTCTAAAGCTTTATGCCTCTTGTTTTAACAAATTGTGAATAATTTGTATTTATGTATTGGTTGGTGTTTTCCCCTTTAATTTTATTGTAATTAGGGCACTCATATCAGGCAGGAGGTCAAGTTTAACTCATATGAGAAAAGTGGTAATGATGGGCTGAAAAAATTATCCATCTGTTCCTTTAAACTTCCATATCTCCCAAGACTATTTTGGCTCAGCTAATTGTTCCCTGTTCCGTCCCCAGTTCCTAATGCCAAGTTGTAACAGTAGTGAGAGTCCTGCCCTGATCTTTTCTTAACCAGATTGTGTCCACTTACCCAGCTGAGGAAGGAGATCTCTTTTATGCAATTAAGAGGCTTCCCCATTAACATACTGGTGTGCCTACCATTGCCTTTTAAAGACCAGTCAGCATGTAACAGTCCTGAACACTTGGAGAAATGACCTGCTCTGCATCTGGTATAGAGAAAGCATGGCTGGTGCTGTCCTGATCCAAAATAACTGCCCTTCATCCTTCCTGCAGCATTGCAAAGGCCACTGACAGGCAATGCACTGGTCCTTACACTTCAATTGCCATGTGTAAAGTTAAACCAGTAATAAGCACATAAATATCTGCAGAATGACAAATGTTCTCCACAGTCAAGTTGGAAAACGGAATTTCAGGTGACAATCTGCAATTTGATTTACATTACAGAGGGATTCTTTAGAGCCTGAAGTATTACTGTAAATGTCAGCTCAATCTGTTAAAATAAGGTGTTTAAAATAGAAGTTTTACTCCTTTACATTGTCCATTTGGTCAATTCTTTCCTTCATAATAACTAAGGAAAACTGAATGTCAAACCATCAGCAAGTGAAAGCAACATTTTTACCACTATGTCTTGGAATCTGAACTCAGTCACACATTGATGAAAATGTGCTAGAAAAAGCAGTGCCACTAAGTGCACAAATAAACATGAGATGAAATAGTGACTATTGTATTGACAATGTAATACAATACAGGTCATTACTTGAGTATTACAATAGTTAATTAATCTTCACTTCCGAAAAATCTTAGTTCCTAGACTTCTCCCAAGTGACCTATTGTGCACTGAACCTCTTGCAAAGAAGGCATGCACTACATAATGCATTATTTTCTTAGGTAAAGTGGTGGGATATGCAGTATCTTTCCTCCCAAGGAGCTTCAAATGTGCTTTGAATATAACAGAAATGGTAATAAGAAGCATAAATTTTTCCTGTAATGACATGCTTTTACTTAAAAGCAGCAGTGAAAGGTTCAGTGCAAGGTCTCATCATCTTAACATTATCTAGGCATACTTTGTTTCCCCCAGGAAAATCTTAGGGAAAACTGAAGACCGCAGGAGACAGCACTGGGTTATTCAAGCCATTTTGATGGAGTTCTTAGTGATTGAAAAGCAGATCAGAAAGTATAAAACTAGAGAGAATTCTCAGTCAGGAGAGTAAGTTAACAGGTCTGTTCTGCCTCTTCACACGATTATAACATGATTTATTTAAAAGCTTTGTCCAAGGAAACTGAATAGAGGAAAAGAACCAGAAAGCTTTAACAAACCCTTGTAATATTTCCATCTATGCCAAACAAAATTGAATACATTTGCTATGTTAAGACAGAGGCTCTCTGCACATCATGATTTAGAATTACTTGCTTGGATCAGTGTGATGCCAACTGCTAAATTCACAAATCTGCAGATTGTGACTGTCAGAATATATCAGAATGCTGGAAGAAAGTGAGGCTGTGACACTGCTGCTTTTTTTAGCTGACCTTTTGCTTTCGCACTAGCCCCTCTTAAAATCCATTCAGAGGTTACCACAAATAGTTTGCAAATCATTTCAAGGCCTGATGGCAAGGTACCTTTTAACATTTTCACTGCCACAGTGGTATAGCCAGCCCTTCCCTTGAGTCGGAATGCTGTCGCCTTGACAACCTTCCCAAATTCTCCTTCTCCAAGAGTCTTGCCCAGGACTAGGTTCTTCCGAGGGAATTCCCACTTTGGATCTTCCTGCAGGAGAGAAAAGACACCCTGTAAGATGAAGCAAGGAAAGGAGTGGCCATTCCTCAGGAATAGGTGCACTTCAATGTGCAGTGTTTGGTTGCTCTTTTTATCAGTGTCAGTACATATCGAGGTACTTTCCCTTACCTGAAAACAACTCCTTCAAAACAGGCTGTACATGTAATCTATGGATAATGGATTATATTTATAGGTCTGGGAAAATGAGTACAAATTAAAAATGAAGTGATATAGTATAAGTACTTGCTTTTAGAATAACTACGAATATGTGACTTTCATGGAGAAGTAAATCTGTTTTATTCACAGAGTAAGGCCTTCTCTTAAGGACTGATCAGAGACAGAAATCATCCTCTTATAAAATTACTGCTAATAAGCCTTAAGGTTGCAAATTGATAACAGATGTACAAACCAGTCAAGAAACTAAAGCAAGCAGAGCACAAGGTCTGTGAAGACCCCACTACCTAACAGTCAAATAGATTTGATGCTGCATTATGAAGCGGCCATGTTCCTCTACCACACTGGTTCATGAAAACACCCCATCTGGCAGGAATCCTGTGCAGTGTGTGATTCAAAGCAGGAAAAAATAGAGTAAAGGTATGACAGCATTACTGGACAAAAGTTCTTCAATGTAGCTAAAACTCCCACACCAACTGAGATGTACAATCTGTATATCAGAAATCAGGAAGAGATCTCAGAAGGGATTTTTTTGTAATGTTTCAAACTTAGCCTTGTTGTAGTACTTTGGCACATCATAGAGAGTTCAAACCTGCTGACTGTTACTACTTAACTGGACAACATCAAAAATAAAACCACATTAGTAAAATGCAGCTACATTAGTAAAAATAATCAGCTTAAATTAGGCCTAAAATGTTACAATACATTAAAGCACAACAAAAAAAGGAAGACCATATATATGCCTCATAGAGCAAATTGAAATGTTTATCCAATTCCTCTTGAAGTATCCAGCGCTGTTATTTGAAGGTAATGGGCGTTTCCATGAATGGCGTTCCTGTAACATCGTCTGCATGCATAAACGAGGCTGACATCACAACACAGCACACAAAATGGCATCAGGCTTACAGGGATTTTAAAGGTGTCTACGGACACCTGGTTCTCCATGGAATCCAGGGAAGGCCGGCGGACATTGCTGGAGGAATAGCTGATGGGGTAGGACTGCGCCGGGCGCCGGAACGTCATTTCCGCGGAGGCGATGGGCGGCTTCGGGGAGTTCTTGTGGTAGCGGTGGATGCAGTAGTAAGAAACCAGCACGGAGATGACGAAGCACAGCACCACTGCTGCTGTGATCACCGTCTTGCACACATCATCACACAGTTGCTCTGTGGACCAAGAAGAACTTTCAGAGGTGCTCTGCAGACCATCTTTTAGAACTTTCCTTGTGGTCTCCTACTTCTGCATAATAATTCAGTTTTAAAGATGCAAACTATTTCATGCTCTGTTTATTATTAACCAAAATAAAAACAATTTAAAATATCCATTATCTGTTTCAAACAGCTGCACAAATCTTTTCTGTTTAAACAAAGGGCAAGGAAAAAAGTAATGTACTCCTCCTCCTAAAACCATGGGTGATGGTTATCTCTGATATTATGAAGCTGAAAATAATCAGGAATTATCAGGAAGCTGGAATTACTTGAAAGTAATAGAAATCATTATTCTAATTCTCCTAGCTGCCTTTGCACATATCAGGTAAGTCTCACTGAAGTGCAAATGCTGCTGGAAATCGAAGGATGACTGACTTGTAGCAGTGATGAATAAAAAAGAATCCTTAGCCAAGGCTATAAACAGCCCGCTCTGGAAATTTTCAGGCTCCATAGTGGATGTCAAGGTTCCTCACAAGTTTTGCATTAGCAGACTCTGACCAAAGCTATGTCTTCTTAATATGGCCACAAGTGTAGACGGTTCTATATGCACACATGATATACACAGAGAAAAAGATTCCAATGCAACAGCAGACAGACTTACCTTTGATATCATCTTTCTCACAATAACAGTTCTGTCTTGGGAAGCAGTAACAAATCCCATGTCCCGACTTAATTCCAAGATTTCCAATGCCCTTCCCATGGCCACCAATAATGTTTCCACCTAATCAAATACAGACAACAGGCTAAGATTCTTACATGTAGGTAAAGGGAGAAGAAAAAGGCTCCATTTTCCATGGGTTTACCCCAGTATGAATCTGAAATCTGACCTGCAAGCACAGGGCAGAGATAATGACAGGGACTCCTGGGGAAGATAGAAGACTCTAAATTCTGAAATTTCTGAGATCCTGAAATGGGGGGAACCTTGCACTGTTTAAACATTAGTCTCACTAGTAGTTATTGAGTTCTGTTCCTGCTTCTGATGCCAATTTCCCCTCACCTTGGAAAAGTCAAGTACTGTTCTAGGTATCATTTGTTCCACTATCAAATGGAGATAAAAACATTTAACCACCTCTTCAAAATGCCACAGGACAGTCTAGTCAAAGCACTAAGAGTAAATGCCAAGTGCAAGTGATAAAAGAAAATGAATCTCACTATCTAAAAATGCATTATTTAATATTAGAAAAAGAGCAGACGCTTGAACTCTTGATTTCAAATAGTTCTTCATGCAGAGTTACAGCAACTGCATTTCCAGGCAAATATTTTTTTTTCAAATATTATGTTATAAAAATGACGGTTAGTAGTGACATTTTTATCTCTAAACTGCCTTAATCGCAAACAGCATTTTACAGACAGCTCAGGTGGTTAATTTTGGAAGAGACTCTGCTGAGTCACTGCCCTCTGAGCTGACACTTAAAAGCATTGGTGTTCCCAAAAATTCCTCATTATCCTCCCTGCCTCTCCCCAGCCAACTTCCTCCATCATGAAAAGGTGGTGAAATAAAGTTTCCATTTGCCATAGAAAATTGTAATTATTTACATCTACCTATGTTTGAAGAGCTGGAAGAAGAGGGAAGCAGGGAAGGAGTCCTACCTAACCTCCTTCTTGAGCAGCTGCTTACTACATGGAAGCCCCTTGCTCAGAATACAGTTAGGTTGCCTCTGTTTGATAGGCACAGCCACAGAACCAGCTGCTTCAGCTGAGTGCCCTTGAATGTAATATTCATAGTGTTACTGTGAGAAAGCAATTTTGGGACTCAAGGACACAGCCATCTTAATGACAAATGAATTACAAAAATAAGTATTTCCACAACTGTCTGTACTTGAAGAATATCCTTGATCTTAACACATCTTGGCCTATTTATTATCTGCCATTCCCAAAGAAATGTCTCCTGCCAGTAAAAGCTGATAAAATGGTACTCCTGCAGCTCTGAGCTCCCAGAACACACTCATTTTTCTTTCTGCAAGTATACTGCTTTTGGGCACCAGCCCAGGTTCTCAATTGTGTCAAGTCATATACACAATTATTCAACTCAGGTGTTAGAAGGACATGCATAACATCCTGAAAACGTGTCTTACTTGCCTGCTTATTATCCAGTCAGACAGTATTTCTTTCAGGCTTCTGTTGAGCAAAACATTTTATGTTGCATATGTTGCACATATTTTTGCATTGCAGCCCCTGGCACAAATATTTCCACTTTCAAAATGACAAATTATTGCAATTATTACCAATAAAGCATTCTTTTCAGATGATAAGAGAAGTTACTTGCATTTCCTTCAAGCATTTCTGCCACTTAAGGAATTGTTTTTATGCACTCTGATGAAATAATTATCTTTCTGATAACACTAACTTACAATACACAATCCATTCTTGCATGTAAGGAATACAAAGAAGCCTCTTTAGTAATTAAGTTTACAGAAGAACATTAAGTCTCAGCCTGTTAGAAAATGTTAGTTCCTCTAAGACTCCATTTTAAAATCTAAACTTGGGAGTATATGATGTCAGAGTCAGAAGAAGAATTCATGAAATATGTACATCTTTATTCCTGAATTAGACTGTCAGATAAAAAAACCACTTAAAAATTATCATCTCACAGAAGATGGAAATCGCTCAAGACAATTACACTGTTTTTTCTACCCTATATGTCTTCAGGATGATTTGTGAACTTGCAGGTATTCCAGGTATATGAATGTGATGCAGAGGAGTGTAGAAATATATGCTCAAGTAAGAAGAACTAACAGAAATGCATTTCAATTCTTCCCTCATAAATTCTGCTCACGTGATTCTCTGCCTGCATCTTCAGATAGGTAAGGCGTTGGATCATTCTGACAGCCACCTGTCAAAAAGGGCAGGTACACTTCCCCAGCTGATCTTTTGTAAACAGATTTATTTTAAATGGAAATAGGCATTGCTCCTATCATACTGTACTTGATTTAGGAAGTGGGGCATTAATGTGCCTAGAACCTATACCTCTTCAGCGAGTACCTCCACTGAAAACCACCACCTGTGAATGAACAGGGAGCAGAATGGGAATTACTGAGAAAATCTTACCCTTCCATCAGTCAGCCAATGGGTGTCACCTGCCTGGCTCAAAAAAGGTCAAGATTAATCCCCATAACCTTAACTCTCTTTCTTGTATGATTCAAATGCAAGTGTGACAATGCAGAGATGTTGAGCTTGTACAAGTATCTGCACTTGGGAAAGCGACATTTGAGAAGCGATCAGAGGTGAAACAGAAAAGCCCATCCTAAAACATTCCCTACTTGTGCAGTCTTGGGGGCACACAGCCGGGTCTCTGCCCTCCACCACATCACAGATGCCATCCGGACAAGTCTTGATGCTGGGGGTGCACGTGGAATAGTTTGTGGTGATGCCTGTTAACAGAGAAACAGCTGGACTAATACCACGAGGAAGGAAAGTTAACATCTTCTCAGGGCACACTAACACGCCAAAGCACAGGTTATAGTGCCCTTTAAAATGACCATCTATTACTACAAACACCTGCTAAAGTAACAGGCAAGACAACAGAAAAAGGCAACTGGAAGAAACAATTTTTTGCTACCTTTCCTGCTTTTGACAGCCCTCTGGTCATGTCACTTGCAGTTACTGTGAATACTGCTTGAAAAGGAGCTGGCTGATCACTTTGAGACTGAAGAGCAGCTTTTACAACTGAGCATTTCTCTACACAATTTCACCCACTTGAATACGAGGGTTACAAGTGGCTGTAGAGAATGTATGACACACAGTTTGAAGGGATCAAGCACCTACCCAGAATCATTGCTCTGGAAGAGTCAAGTGCTGTCACCCATCACATCTGTGCTACAGACCACAGGAAGAGACACTGCTTTGTGCTCCTGTCTGCTGGGTGCACCTGCTCAGCCAGAACAAATCAGTTTGTATCTATGGAAGTCAAATGCACAATTACAGCTAAACAGAAGTTTGACCTCACACAACATAAATGTACCTTTCCCACTCCCCTGTCTCCACTGGCATCTTCCTGTTAGCACTCCCAGGCCACCACACTCTTCACATTCAGCACGGTGCTTACTTATAGCACAGGAGTCGGGGCAGTCCTCTTCTTTCCTTAAAACTGTTGGGAAAAATGCAGGACAAAGAAAATGAACACACAAGCAGATCAGCTCAAACCATGAAAACTCTGGTTTTAGGGATAGACAGGAACAAGAGAAAGATGAAGAAAGCAGTGAAAGACTGAAAACTGGCTGACTCAATTATCAGTATACTTAGAGAACAATTAAAGAAAAGCCCAGATGTTCCTTTTCTATGAAATAAAAGATAAACACCAAGATCGTGAAGGCATGGTTATGTCTGCTTGTCAGCACATTGTCATTGCCTAGAACTATAGATATATGCAAACATACCAATAACAGAAGAATGGTAGAGCACAAATCCTTACAGCTTCATACAGAACATTTAATTAGGGGAAAATACTTAGTTCTTGGGCTACCACAGTAGTAACCCAAAGAGTACCAGCTAGAAATGTGTGTTTTCAGACAGCATGAGGCTTGTACAAAACAAAAAGTCCACTGCATGCTTTTGTTTCTTTTTTTTCAACCCACTTGCTCTTGGCATAGAAATTCTTATCTGATAAAATGTAACAGGGGTGTTTTCTCAGGTGCAATTGTACAGTTTTGCATAAAATGCAATATAGTTTGCAGAGAAATGTTTCCAGTGAAATCCTCTTCTGTGGGTGTTACAGGGTATTTCTAACTTCCTTCCCTATAAGGGTGGGTCATCACACTGCCCTTAAGAACTTAAATTCAGTGTGATTGCTACATGAATACCAAGAAAGCTATTAAAAAAATGCAGAGAGAAGGGAGGAGAAAAATAAATGAACAAACATACTTAGACCATATAGCTCTTTCTTACAGACAGATATACACACACATATACCTACAAACACTTTTGCTTCTTCCACAGGAATATGTAAAATACAAAATAAAGATCTCACACACACACACACACTAAAGATTCTTCTAAATCAAAGGTCATCATGAACATTATGAATTGCATGTACTATTCCACCTTTCTGTGCATTAGTTCTTCAAACAAACAGCTACTACAGGAAGGTACAAATCAAAACTCAAAATCTAAACTCTGTGATCCGTATCTTGTAGCTCAGACCCATTTTCATTGTTAGTGCCATCATTTTACACATCACCCTGCTAATGCAACACCTCGTACTGGTAACACTTGTTAATAATAAATAAATAGTTCTGACTGGGGTACTTACAAGTCCCTTCCAGGACAAGAGTGAGGAGGGTTTTGGTGTGTTTCCTGCTCTGCTTGTCTGTAGCTTGCACAGTGTACTGTATTTCCCTGCACTCAGGTCTGCGCAGCACAGAGGAATCGTTCACATAAAGGCTCCCATATTTGTCCTCTCGGCCTTGCAGAATGCTGACAGGATAGCAGCTCGTGTTGGGGGACAGCAGCTTGTAGGTGATGTTTACACCACGGAATTTCATGCAGTTCTCAATGCAGATCTTTCCTATCTAGGCTCAAACACCAACAAAGAAATCACAGACAGGAACAAAACTCTACACAAAAAATATTTTGTGCTTGCCAAAAATATCTGAAATAAAATGGAGCATATTTTACCTTGCAAAATACAGTATTTATTTGGGGTTTACAGATTTTTTTATTTTCCTACAAATGCAGTATGTAAATGCTTTAAATGTGATTAATCCTCAGTAAAAACGAGATGCAAAGCATTACTGTTGTCTTCAGAGTAGCAGTGGAAATACAAAAAGCCTTGACAGACTCAGTGGTATTTAGTGCCTACAGCTGATGGTCAGCAGTGCTCAGTGAGAACAAGAACCTGTGATTTGGGAAATTCTGAGTTCAATCTCTGCTCTGTTCCAGGCTGACCACTGAAAAAAACTTTCGTCATCTTTCAGAAATCAAAGAGCTCAGCATGAACAAAGCTGAGACTCTCTTCTAATAACATAAAAATTTCTATTACAAAATTTTTACAGTATTAGTCAAAAAGTTTCTGGCCAGAAGAGCTCTCTGAAAGCCTTACAAGGAATAAGAACCTCATTGTTTCCCATTTGCAATTTTAAAACATTTTAATCTAAAAATGCAAATACATTGGTTTGCCGTATTTGAACTTCTGTGGGCCAGAGTATCTAGGCTAGAACACTCCTCAGTCTAAAACACACCATCTAAGAAGAAAAGGAATGTAAAGCCCCATCTCCTGTCCAGCTCCTATAGGAACTGATCCAAAGCTCACTTTGGTTTTTCCATTTACAAGAGTGGGATTTCAATCAGGCCCAGAGGCATTGGCTTTCTTTGCAGAGAAAACCACAATGTGAAGGGTGGGGTGTTATTGAAAGGAACTTGGTGATGGATTATTTTCAAATGCTGCAGTTAAGAAATGTTTTCAAGAAACACCATTACTGGTGAAAACATATCTGTACATCTTGGTTTCAAGCATTCTTACTAAAGAATGTTATACAAAAAGTAAGTTTTTGTGTACTAAGACCTCTTCCTGTGAACCTGGACTATTTAAAGTCAGAGAAGAAGCCTTTGCAGTTCTAGAAGCATACTTTGTTATAGGATAATCCCACTTCATCTAACTTATTCCCATTCACATTACTGATGGCTCATTTGGCACTATTCCTGTTGGGATTTTAGGAGGCAGGGTAACACAGAAAGACTATTAAAGCCATCAGAAGCAAGGCCATTTCTTCCTGGCTGTCTCCTCTCCACGACTTGCTGGGACTGGCAGGAAGAAGAAGACAAGATTTCCACTGTTCATAAACTCTGTCTAGACACAAGGTCTAGACATGTCCCTTCCAGAACACGTCACCACAGCTTTGGTGCCACACTGCAACTGGCAGCGCTCTGCAGCTGCTCGGATGATGCTCCTTCCAGGCAGGAGGAGAACACAGCGATGATCCATGGCATTTTTACTACTTTAACTACATTGAACTGCCCCTTCTGCCTATTCTGTTGTAACTGGTCTTTCCAGGCACCTTTTTGATTGCAGCAATTTCCTTCAATGGGGTTGGAGAAGACCCCGCAAATTCAGGGTCCCTGAAGAGCAGATTATTCTTAGAATAGCATATTGACCAGTTTTGATTTCTCTGTATAATTTGAGAAGAAGCTATAAAGGCCTCCCTCAAGAAATTTCTATGAGAAAGACACTTTCTTTTTTTGCCTGATTCTTCTAAGGAAAGCCCAACCTTGTAACTTTGCTCTGCTCCACAAGTTCTGGAGCCAGCTCAGCTCTCAGGTGCAGAAGAGCACAACTCCAGGGGAGAAGGGGAAAGCACCTACTTCCCTCTTCTTGTGAGGGTAAAGGGCAGTCAGATTTAACATCAGCTTACAGGGGAGTAACTTACAAATTTGCAAGATCCTCAATAGTTAACACAGAAATACCATTATTAGAAATAAGAACAGAAAAATCCATCTTTCAAGCTCCAATGTTTAATAAAGTCTGGATAATGATACTGTTCCTCTTCACTGAATTCCAGGGACATTTGGACATATAACCTCTCTAAAAATCTCAGCCAATGTTATTCATCATTTGTCTCAGTAAATGTCAATAGAGCTTTAAGTCCTTTGATAAGTTAAATGCCAGTGGGCAAGCCTGCACCGTCAGGCCGTGCTTCTGTTATTCAATTCATTTAGCTGCTCAAATAGACAAATGGCATCAGCCCAGCAGTTAATAATTTCTTCACGCTCCTGTGTTTCCTTAGGGCAAGAGACAGTTCAGCCTCATATTGATTTGGCCCAGTACTTTCCCTGAATACTCTGGCACATCAAGGCTAATTATGCAGCCAACTTTAATAATGTGAAGTGCTGGGGACTAAGCTGCTTATACTGACTTGTGCTCCAAGCTGAGCACACTGTAAATTCAAACCCAGTTTCAGAAGTAAGTGGATGACACTTTAACTAACTGAGAACACCATCTCCAGAGCCAGGATGAGTTCTGCATTTCGCTGCTCAAGAATCCGAACAAAATCTCTTTGTGAATTTGTGTTCAGGCAGCACAATGAAAAAGATCTCTTCCCAGAGACTTGGAATTCTTGCCGGGAACAGTTTTCCCTGCTGCTACTGCCACCCAGTGAAACTGCACAATGAGGGGGAAATGCCACTGTTTTATAAGATCCTAAAATTCCTTTTCAGATGTTTGACTCTTATGACAATATTCAACACCCGTAGCTTTAAAAGTCAACTGGCTGTTTTTGGTTTTCCACTCTGAAATTAAAAAAGGAACACATACCCCCAGATTTTAAAACTAAAGTGTTCAAGCAATCTAGGGTATGCACAGATAACCATGGTTGTCCAAATTTAACCTGGAACTCATGCATTCATAATAATATTGTATGCATACACCTATATATAAAAACATGCACACCGAAAAAAGCCCAACCAATTAGTTGATCTAAACTGATACATACCTAACAGGTAAGTATCCACATTTGTTTCTAATACAGTCATCTTGTGACACAGATACAAGAGTTCTCAATGCAAGGATTAGACTATGGGTATCTTACATACCTGTACTATTATTTCTTTTAGGGGAAACCCAGGTTTCACCCTATCCCCAGGCAACAGCAGAGGGTGAAGCTTTCACAGTCTGGTGCAACAAAAGCCTCAAACCTAACATCAAAAACAACTTGATCTGCACAAAAAGAAAGCACTATCCTCTGAAGTTTCTAAGAGACTGCAAACTGAAAAATTGCAGCCACAAGGCATCATGAAATGTCATAAAGGAGTAGCTTTTGTAGAGAGGCTGCTGTGTGAGCACACTTGGTACCTTTCTCTTATTTAGGATATTCAGTGCAGACTATGGACAAAATGTCCCTTGTCAGATCAGTAGAATTTTTACTGCTCATGTACAGCCTGTTCAGTAACTCTGAAGAGCTATCAAGCTGCAGTGCAGTTCATCAGATTAGATATAAGAACATGCAATATATCTAACTTTCCTTTCTCTTTCTTTGTAAAATTAGCCAGAGCCTTAAAGATTAATAAAACTTAATTCTTTAAAATTCTTCTAATGAACTGGTTTTCTCCATAGTTGGGATGATCATATTTTCATCTCAGTCCTCCTCTCTGCTACATTACAAGGTATGCTTTCCAGAAGCTCTCCCAAAAGGGTTCATCACTGATGTTTTTAATATCCACTTTCATAATATTAATTATATTGAACTAGTTCCTTATTAATGTACATGGTCCATAGGAATTACATTGTAATTTTCACCTGATTAATGTCAACCTATTAGAAATTTTCCTTTCTCTGGAAAGCATTATTAACGGCAATGGTGGTAATTAAGCTAAAACAAGGGTTAAATTAGGAAACACATTAATTACTAGCTAGCCATTACCTAAAGAAAAGCCATTAATATACTGAGACTCCAACAGCTGGACAAATCCCCTTTTTCTGCCCTTGACATTGTTGCAGTTATTCATGCCTAAGACACTCACAGTTGCAAGTCCTCCTGCCCACAACACATTATTTCCCTTCATTAGTACTTCCATGTGTGGCACCTCTTCTGCTATTACGTGGTAGAAGAGGTAGTGCCCAGCCTACCTGCTACCTCCTACATCCAGCAACAATCACACTAAAACCATTAAAACCAATGAGCAATGTAACACATCTGGCCCCAGCAATCCAGCTGTTAACTCCATCAGAAAGAGGATGCATAATTAACATGGCTCTTACTTGTGCGAAGCGTTCAGCATTTCTGTTCACTGTGAAATGGTAAGTGATGTTTGAAAACTGGATGCTGACAGGGAGGATGGAGACATTGAAATGAAGCATCACCGATCTTTCTGGGCCCTGAAATTCTGTGTCATTCACCAAAACATCCAGCTGGAAGGAACGATGCTCTGTGACTGAAATGCTTTTATTCAGCACCAGTTCTGTGAAGGAAAGGATTAGTCTATTAGCAACCCACATTATCTGCAAATGTATCTTTTAATACCACAAACCCAACAAAAACAGATATACCAAATTTAATTACACACATCCAAGTTTCCTAACAGGAAATAGGAGACAAGCTAAATATGAAATATGTTCTCATGGAGTTATGCTCTCTGTCATTCAACATGTCTGGGAGGCCTTCTTCCCTTCTGCCTATCAAGCTGAGAATCCTACAATCCAAACCTGTTTCTTATCAGTTTATACATCATCATCCCACACACTCCCCATCAGAGATACACAAGCTCCATTTTCTCAGTACATATTTAAAACTCTGTGTTTTCTTGAAATTTCTCAGGTTTCTTTGGCTCAATACTTAAAAAATGCTCAGAAAAATTCAAGAGCTAATTGGTCAACTACTAACAAGCAACTTCTCCTTTATTTGAAGAAAGAGTCCTTACTGTAGTCATGCCGAGTTCCCCTCACTTGGCTGCCATTTGGGTTGAAGTGGATTTCATCGAAGATGTGCTCTACACGAAATGTTTCACTTATCCAGGGATCATCAGTAATGATGGTTCCTGTGTATTTCTTTCTGCTGCTTTCAAGGGGGTAGATAGGTGTGGTGTCTGCATCGTACACGGTCAGCGTGGAAAGAACAGTGCCCTGGTAGGAAACAATAAATGGCACTGCTGAAGGACCTGAAGTTTTCCTCTTCTGATAACTGTTTTGGAGACTGAAACAGTGGTCAAACAAGACCTTATAACTTTCACTGAACCCAGGCAAATGTATTCATAGGTGTCTTGACAAGACTTATTCTAGTCAGGAGATGGCAGCAAACTCCCAAAATCAGTCTTTTCCCTTCCAGACACAAATATGATCAAAACGTACTTTGAAGGGAAAATTGACTACCAAGAGATCTTGCTGTTAGGAAGCAGAAGTTCTCTCATGAAATCATTTTATACCCCCCAAAAAAGTCCTCTCTATACCACTGACTTATAAAGGGTCACTGCTCCCATGGAAGAGCCGAAGAGCTCGCACGTGTACTTCTCTACTGAAGCAACAAGGGGTGTGTGTGTAGGGGCACCAAAGACACACAGGGATTCAGACCTCTTGAAAAATCAGCTTGGCATGGTATGGGAAAGATGGGAGGACACCATTAAAACAATATCCTGCAGCTCAACATTAATAGCCTGTAAATTCCACAGATCCAATGGTTTGTCTGTAAATGTCAACCACTACTTCAACAGCATCCTAATAAATCTTCTGAACACAGTCATGATGCATTACACAGATTTGCATGTATGGGACAGATACAAACACATTCGCTCTAACAACATAATTTTAAATCACCTGGAGGAAGCAACCCTGTAACAAACAGAACACAGCTCAGTATGGAGTGATCCAGAGTGATCCTGACCAGAGACTCAGCAATTGTCCATCCTGATCCTGGAAACTGCTCAAATTCCTTCACACTCTTCAATTACTAACCCAAACTCCTCTTTCTTTGGGATCTGAGCAACACATAACTTGGGGCAGAGGAATCCTACAAACAGCATTCTACAATCACAGATCTGCAGAGCATGGTACAGTGATGGGCTTGTTGCCAAGACCCATTACACAAGCAGAATATGATGCTTCCCAGGAGTCCTGCCTCCCACTGCTGTGCTCATACTTCAGGGACTAGGTAAAGGAGAACATTACCGACATTACCTCTTTCCTGTTGAACTCCACGACAGCATCTGCAGTATCAGTGCCATTGGGAAGGAAGGGAGGAGAGTCATCTTCATCTAACACGTTCACCAGGAAAGGCACCTCAACCTGCATTTCCCTGAACCCCTCTCTGACGGTGCACTTGGCAATGAGCTCGTATCTCTCCCTCTCCTCCCGATCCAGGCTCCGCGTCACCCGCACGCTGGTGGTGTTCTCGTTGTACCGAAAGGGAACACCTTCAGCTGCAAAACAGCCACAACATACACAGGCACAATCACTTCCCAGTACAGGGCTCTGATGGCTTTAATACTCTTCTGAAGTTCAGTAAATCCATTTGGACATCATGACTGCACAATAAACAACAGACTCAGAAGTGAAACAGAAGGAATTTGTGGGGTTATATTAGGGTAGGGAGAAGGCATGGAATATATGGGAAGATTCTACAGTTTAGAAGCAGCAGAATTTAAAGCTCAGTATATTCCCAGTCTACTTTTAGCAGATAAAATATTCTAAAACTTTTTCTTTAGGGAAGGGGATAGTCCTCCTTCCCATTTCCCCTGTTTATCTCAAAGGTAAAATCTTTAGGTTCAGTTTAGGTTTGCACAGGAACTTCCCTTTATAGAATCAAATCTGGAGGATCTACTGCAAAAGACATCTTCTAACAGTGCAGCTGTTTGAATCTATTGCTATCATGTGAACAGCTCAGATCCAGTTTTACCTGCAAGCAATTTGTAGGAAATGCTGAGATTCTGACACAGATGATGAACTGAGGGTAACTGGAGCTGATGAAATGTACCAGGTGGTTTATTCTCCTTGATGTGAAAGGAGAGATCCATTTCTGTGAAGCAAAGCTGCCTTGCTGTCAGGGAACTGCAAGCTGGTGCAGTAGCATTGATCAAAGAGAGAAAAACCGTGGTGCGTGTAGCGGAGTCACATTCCCTCTCTTGGAAAGGGTGGGATGAAAGGAAGACATACAGCATCACCTTGGATAACGGCATCCAATTTCCTACAGCTTCAGGGGAAAGAAATCACCGTAAGAAATATTTTACAGAAGACAAGCCAACATTTACTTTCCTTATATTCTTCCCTAGTCCATTATTCCATAAATGATCATTTAATCCTACTATGTGGCAAAGCAACTCTTCAATATGCCAGATGCTGGTGGGAAGACTTTAAACCTTAAGAATCCAAATAAGCCTATAATTGTAAGGCTTGGCATAAATTTTGCACATAGAGTCTCAAAACCAGTATCAGCATTCTGTCTGTAAGACAGTGACATAAAAACACATCACTGGCAGTAATCAGCTCTCTGACAGGATTGCTTTTTGAAGGGATTAGAGCAGAGCGGGGTGGAAACAGGAAAAATAACGCACAAGATGGTGACAGATACTGAGGACAAACCCATATCAGGACTAACACTTTAGTCACAGCATTCCAACACTATGGATCAAATTGTCTAGGTTCAGAGAACAGATTGCTTCATCATTTTGAAATATAAAGAGGTGGACAAAAGATAAAACAGAAGTTAAAATCAACCTGTGGCATGTACTAATATTTCCTCAAGGCTTGTTCTGATTCCCTTGGCTTGACTACAGACAGCACAGTAATATCTCTGTAATAGATCTACCTCACTTGAAAAGAAGTTCTAGGCCACTTTGATCTGAATGAACAAAACAAGGCTCTCGAGTGTTAAGTAGCTATTCCTCCTTTGTTCAGCACAAATATTTGATATACACGAATGCCAAGTATCAAAAATGGATGAAATATCAAACATTCAGCACTTCAAAAATAAAGCATTAAGTGTCTGAAGTTGAAAATTTCAACATCAAGGCACCCAAGTCTGCAGGTAGTGTTGATACTGAAGACAGTTACTACAGACTCTCTTCAACAGTAAAATTTCTGCAACTGATCACAGTGGTATGCCATTAACTCCTCATCCATTTCCTCCTCCACCATCTAATGATACCTAATTTCCTCATAGATCAAAATCACCAAAACCAATTTACTGCTAGACCATAACAGAAGAGAAAAAAAACTGAGATAATGAATTTCTGTAGTTCAACAGTAAGCTTCTCTAACAAAGCCAAATCTCAAGAGAGGGAGAGAGGTACGATTAACCATTTCTTCTAAGACCTCTTTGGTGTTACATGCAAATGTAATTTGTGAATCCATGTCACCAGAATTCAAGGACCATTCACATAAGAATCTGAACCACTCTCACAGCATTTGTCTGGGAATTCCTAACACAATGGAATTGGTCTCACTTGCATCAGTAGATGAACAAACTGCAAATCTCAGTGTAAAGCTGTAGCCTGTACAGCTGTGAAATGCATAAAAAACATTTCCAGTAATGCAACTGTCCCACCCAACTGGAGTTCCCAGTGTGAGCAACAGGATCTGTCCCAGGTCAGCATCTGCTGTGGGTTTCATTGGGTCTGGTTCCTCATTTTAAAAGAGCAATGTGTTTTTCCCAAATTTGATGTTCATCTTCCAATGGAGAAATCTCATTGTCTGAACAGATACCTCAAGAAGAAAAGCTGATCTTCTCATACTTACACAGCATGTTAAAATCCTCTCTATCCAGGCTTTTGCTGAGGTACAGAAGTCCTGTTTTTTCTCTAATTTGGAACCAATTATTTTCATGTGATCTTGCTCGAGAAATTATGAGATTCTGGCACAGATGAAAGTGGGCCGCTTCCTCACGTGAATCCTTCAGGGCATGGATGTGCAGGAGCGGCATTCCCGCTGGCGCATCAATGTAGACATTCTCCAGGTACTCCTTCCTGGGGAAGTAGAGACCCAAGGCCACTGCAAAGGAAGGCACACAAGAGAAGATACAGGCCCAGTTAAATTATTTTTGCCCTGGTGTTTCTTAACAGATGTGTTTCCAAAGAAACAAAGGTTTTATTTTCTAAGAAGTAAAGATGCATTACAAAAAGAGGTGGAAAAAGGCAGATCTTCATCTGGTGTAAATAAATACAGCTTTACTTCACTGAAGCAAAGGACAGAAGCACCAAAAATATGGCCTATAATTTCTATTTGATTACAAAAGTATCTGCTTTTTGAAAGCAAAACTGCTTTGCTGTAGACAAGGCCCAGTTTAAGATAAACACTTAAGGAAGCTCTGCTTGCCAAATTTTACTTAAGTTCCTAGCTGGTGCTCTCATTTGTAATTCCATCACCTCACAGACGATATTCAAAGAAGGAAAAAAAACCACCTTTGATGAAATCACACACTTTAAAAGCCTTTAAACATGCTCTCTGTTGAGAGAAAATACAAAAATTTATCTATGGCTTGCACACTTTTCCTCAGGTTGTAAAATAAAACCCCTCTTATAAAGCCTTTTTGGCTTCCCCCTTACTAAACAGGCCAGCATGATACTTTTGGTACAGGAAATGGGACCTGTTAAAAAATACTGAAAGTGTTTTAAGAATTTTAAATATGACAGACGGGAAAGCTGAGAGGTGAGTGAGAAGGTAAACACGCATTTCTTTTTTAGTACAATGACTGTGACTGACCAATCATTTCCCACCCTGGTACTGAAGGCATTTACATTTAGTAGGGCTCAACTGCCCCTTGGTGCCTGTTTCTTCAGCTGATCTCACCTCACCAGGTCACTGTGCAATGGCCTTTCTACCTGTTTGCAGTGCTTCCTTTCCAATTTCACATCCCACATGTGATCACAGTGGAACACTTGATTTGCAAGGAGGGAACAAAGTGAGGCTCGGTGTGCTCACACAGACTGAAACACTGGAACTGTCACTCTTGGACTTTACATGCACTGGCAGCCAGCACTTGCTCTCATCCAACACAGTACTTGAATACTGCAGAATTATGCATTATTTAATCCAACTGATAAGGAGTCAGGCATATAAAAAGCTCACACATCTGCTGAACAAATGTAAACAATAACAATTTCCATATGTTACTAACACAAAGCCCTCTCAGCTTAAATCAAGCCAGATACAACTGGAAATGATGGTAACAGAGCAGTAAAATTAGGGATATAATGCCAAAACATCTTCAAAATTGCATCAGGCTATAGCACATATTTATGTATTAGTATTGGATCCATACACTCTTCTACTGAATGGAGTGCACCACAAACAAACTGTAAACAACAGACCTCTAATTTCATTTAGAAATACCACAGAAACCATTGTACCTTGCAGTGATTCATGACATCATCTGTATCCCTGGATGCAATTACATCCATCAGGTTTTCAGAGGCCCATTATCTTTTTTCTACATATACTTTGCAATATATGAATAAAGCGGTAAAGTAATATGGTAGGTGAATTTGTTCCAAAGGGCTTAATTCAAAGAGAAGCCAACCAGAATCTTTTTGAGAGTTTTATAAAAGCATTAACTCTTGACATTCTCTGTTCAGAAAAAAAATATTACTTTTGATTCTGGTGCTATCACCCTCTCTCATTTGTAAGTAAGGTTCCTGAATATTTGTATTAAATTTCAAAATTTTTTTTAAGTTACTCCAACTTTTTTGAAGAACAGGAAAACCTGGGGAATACGTGCTGCTAGAGCCCCCAACAAATGGGTTCAGTAAAAGAGGAATAAGGTGATATCCAAATACAAAGCCCAGTGCCAGTAAAAGTAAATAGACTCCCTTGAGGTATTTTGTGTAAAAACCCGATTTTAAAACAATGAAAATTTCTTCACAAAAAATTCAATACTCAAAATTCAGTACTCAAGATTAAAAAACTACTTTCAACTCACAAATGCATACAAATGAGGCTCACACAACAGTAGCTGTTATCTCCTTATTTCCAAGACTGTGGTGAACAGTCCTGGGTGCTCAGATCATGCAGTACAAGAATCAGCACCACTGCAGAGATACGAAATCACCTCCAGCAGAAGGAGCATATATTGAGTATATATAAACAATATCAATGTGCAACATGGGAAGTTGAAAAGGGAGAAAAATGGAATATTTTGAGTTGCAATTATTTGCTTCCTTATCTTAAACAAGTGTGCTAATCTTTATGTTCTTTATATTCTTTGCTCTACAAATGAGGGCTCACACTGCACACAGGTGCAGTTGTGTTTAACCGAGCACATAAATAATTATGACAGGCATGGCCACTTAAATGGCAGAGTCAGCATCCTGACTGCTCTGCATTGAAAGAAAAAGTTAATATCAGTGCTGCAGACTCTGAAGTTCTTTGGCACCACTTCACAGGAGGAGTCTTCTCCATTGTCAGAAAGAAAGGGAAAAATCCTGTAATATAAAAAATCTGATTTCTCTGTAAATAACAGAAATTCTAAACAATGCTTTGTATTTTGAAGAGAGGAGGATTCCTTACTAAAATAATTTAGAACTTACACCCTAAGTAGCTGGAAATATATTTCACAATTTCACAAGTTTCAAAGCTACGTCAAGAAATTAGAAAAAGCTGCTGTAAGAGGTTTAGACACGTGATCTTTTTCTACTCAATTCAAACCTAAAACTGAATAAACTAAATTCTGTCCATCAATAGTGTCTGTTTTTAGTACAGAGCAGACTTCCATATTAAGGACAATACCCAAGGATAGTTTTAAGTGACACCAGTGAACATGTCAAATATTCATATTTTATTTAGAAAACAAATATTTGAAGACCACACTCTGCATATAAATCGCCCAGGTCACAACCACACTCTGCATATAAATCACTGGGGGCTAATTTTAAAGGAAACCTTTGAAGTAGAAATGTAGTACCCACTTCTCAGAGCTGTGTTCATTCCTTTAAGCCCTAGTGAGTTAAAACCAAATTCAATAAACTTGCCATCTGGCAAGTATGCTGCAAGAGGAAGAGGTTCTAATCCTGGCCACAGTTCCTTGTGTCCTGAAAAAAAAAAAAAAATCCATTTCCAAGGACTTGTGCAAGCTTCCTATGGAAGCCAGATGGAGTTTTTAATGAATCTGCCATTTAAATAAAGAGGAATTGAGATGGTTACGTTCAAAACTGATGGTTCAAGTGCTTTTACTTAGGAATTAAAAGCAGAGAAAAATTTTGCGTTAGAAGCTTAAAATGCACCACAGGAAGGTTGTGCTCTGTAACATCCCAGAATCACAGAACCATTAAAATATTCTGGCATCTCTGAACATTTCTTTAGAGGACGCTTCAGCTCTCCATACTAGAATCAGCACAGGAAACACAGCAACCTCTGATGGATGAGCAGTATTATGGGATAACAGCGTATCAGTAACACACAGAAGAGAAAAGTGATCACGTTTAAGCGGATGTAATGCTACTAACTAATAGCTCCTAGAGGAAATAGATACAGTTATGACAGCAGTTTTCCAGTTCAGGGAGAGAAAGCAGGTAAAATGAGAGTAGAGAAATGAGATTATATGTACTTTGATGCCTTCGTGATTGCCTTTTGAAATAAGGCAATTTTTCATGTGGCTTTTTTCAGTCGTGAATGATTAGGTAAATAATGTCTTTTTTGATACAAATTGATTTTTTCTGTACACAATTTGCTGTACAAAACTTCAGATGTTTTTAGTGCTTTTTATGTTTGCCTCTATCATCTTGAGCAGCATTTGGAGATGGCTCTTGATGAAAACTGTTGAAGTGACTACAGCAGTATTATATTCCTAACATCAACCTCAATGACAGAAAATACAGTTTAACTTTTTAGTCACAAAATGAAGGAGCAGGAATTTTTTTATTAGATATAGAGGAAAACTTGACTGTAAGGCGTTTTTCCCAAACAATGTCTGTAACCATCTTTCAAGGCACAACCACAGACTTGAAGCAGCAGATGTCTTATGGAATTCATAGTCAAAATTCAAAGTTTGAATGACCAATGCTTGGTTGAAGTTACACTATGCATTTGAGCAAAAGGTTCACTCTTGACTTAAAAAATTCAAACGGCTGAAATATAACATTACTCACTAAAGTTATTTTGGGCTTCATTACGGTAATTGAAAACCATCTCTCAAGCCTGAGTGTCTGTTACCTTCAAACTTCTTTTTACTAGTTCCAGTTAGTACACTTTTGTCCAGATCTCAAGGTGCATGATCATGCTGGGTGAACTTGCATTTAAAAACACTAGGACCAGTTTGGTTTCTTTTAAAATGAATAAAGGAAAAAAAGAAATCAGCAAAATGGAAATGATGGCTGTTTTTCATTCAGCAGGTAGTCTACACCTATGTAATCCACATCTAACAAAATTTACTCAGAGCTTCTCAGCATTTTGGAGGACAACAAATTTAGAACAGAACAGCCCAATGCAATCAAAATCTTTAATCCAGAACTGACATGCACCTCCAAGAAAAGGGAGACACTTTTAATGCAATGATAGCCCTGTCAATGTAACATACAGAATTTAATGATATAACAGATGAACATGGGAGCCTGTTGCTAATAATCCTCCATTTGTTGCACAGCATCAGATTTCAGCAGGCAATTATCTGTCAAGGTTAGTTTTGTGTTTCTGAAATAATTATCTTTACTTCTGACAAGTAGCCATTATGTTCCATTACTAGTATTAATACATCTAACATTATGGAACAGCAGAGCTAGAAACACCAGTTTGGATTCAATCCTCAGCTGAGCAGGTGGTCAGGCACGAGCCAGCCTGCGCCAGCTGGGGACGTGGCACAAGTGGCACAGGGACCCTGAGCTGCCTTAAGTGCCTGCCCAGCCAGGCACCAGGGTGAGCCAGGCTTCAGCCACCACGCAGGGCAGGCTGCTTCTGGCACAAGCACAAGTCATAAAACTTCTCCTGGTTTTATACAAAGAAGTTCAGTCAAATTCTGCCACCAGCTCGCTGATTGAGGCTGCAGCGTTCCTGCCTGGCTG